AGGGCTGAATCTTATTGTGCTGAAAAACACAGCTGAAGCAATAATTTGAAATCCACATCTGTTTCGAGAAGAACAATGCTCGCGTGACATTTAAAAGTTTATTTAGTTTAATAGTTCACCTTTTCTTTTCACTTATTGATCACCTTGATTGACACTGAAATATGAGTAAGTTGGTGGTTTTTAGTTAGTTTTTTACACGTGTCGTGTCGGAGGCATGAATAAGGATAGCTTCCCCGTTTTTGATGATTATACAGTTTAGTTTAACTTTGGAATCCCGTCACGAAGTAAGTCAGTTGTTTTAAGTCGTTTTTGGTTTTCTTAGGCTTTGTTACATTCAATTATTCGCGTTGATTCTGTTAGTGTAATTTCTGTAATAAGCGGTTAAATCTGTTCGTGTTTTGAAGATTATATGATGTGCTTAGGTCTCTTATTTTTGGTTAGGTTCTGTTGTTTAGAAATCTTATTTATTTATTGTTTCAGATCGAATAAAATTCTATTTATACGATTCGGGATTCTTTAGAGCCACGCAAGTAATTTGGTTTTCATCCGACGGACCAACATCCAAAACCAAGTGTTATCCTTAGTATTATCTGTGATTTACTTCTGATGCAATAATTTGCTACCAAGAGATGTACAGCATAGTATTCCTTGTTTCTCCAAATAAAAGGCAATATTAATATCTGCATCATATATTTGAATTGTCCTTGGGAAATTGTTAATAGTCAGTAGATGGTTATCACCATTGAGTTTTTCTTAGAGTTTGAAAAACTTGTTTGCATTGGTCAGTGATTCTATCTAGAGTCTGAATTCCGATACCCACAATATTTGATAATGGAAAAACAAATGCTATAAAAAGATATGGCACAACAGCATAACAAGGGAATATGAATGGTTGTAATTTCAGCATCTGCATGATTCGCTTTGAGGGAGACAGCTGACAACTATTGATCAGAAATATCTATCATATCACATTGTTTTTCATTAATATGTACACCTTTGAGTTCAAATAAAACATTTGGATTCTATATATATTTTTTATCAGCTCATTTGAACAGTACACAAGTTCCTTGAGGATGGGGCATACCATATGAATCTCTACCACGAGAATCAAATATCTTTAACTTACCATCATCATTGCAGTAACAAACCTACTGTAGTAATAAGGATTGCTAAAAGAAAGGAATTATAATTTTGTCCTAGCTAAGCCTGCATAGCATTAGCAAATGACATACAGTCATTGAAATCTTGTACTTCACAAGCGTGTTTAGTACCAGTCTACCTTTGACTATATTTAAGCTGATAATTAATATTTAACACTATTATCATTTCAGGTACTTCTGTTACCAGTAAATACGATTGCCTGGATAGACTAGATAGACCAGAGTATAATTTATTACCATTGTACATGATATTAACCAAGTCCATTGAGGGTACAATACCATTCCTCTTGTTATGAGGGAAGCACGTGACATGGCTACACACTGTGTACCAGCATTTAACCCAAACATTGCCACACTGTCTTGACCTTAAGGAGTTTGAAGTGTTTCGGTAGAATTAATGACAGGACCAGGGTTTGTTTCTATATCCTTACTTTTGCTGAAGACATCAACTTTAAGTAGAAATTAGCCCAAAAGAAAATTGCATAAACAATAGATAACATAATAACATTATACACAAAAAACACAGGATTTTGGATTATGTATTTATTAAAAAGAATACCCATACAACTACAATGAAAACAAACATAAGATTCACCTTTCTGATCATGAAATTAATACCATTTGTACGGTTATTGTAGCTATGTTCCTTGGCATCAAGTGAATCCAACATGGCGTCTTTCTTCACAAGCAGTTTGCATCCATTAGAGTTTTGTTCTTCACAGTTTGTATATACTACATCACCCAACTTCATGGCCTTAACAGTTGCTAGTACAGCTGAAGGAAGTTCTATAAATTGGGAATTACAAACAGGTTCTTGTTCTAATAAAGAATTGTCTGTTTGGGAAAGAGACAAATTATCTACAATCAGTTAAAGTGCTTGAGCAACTCCTTTCTTCTGCAATGATTTGTTTTTACATATTGTTTCATATAGCCATCAACATGGGCTAGAAGGATTCCCTGGTACAAAATGTACACACAACTTTGAGTACCATCCCTGCCTGCCCTCCCAATTTCCTGAATATAAGATTCCACATTTTTGGTAGGTCCATAGTGAATGACTCTATGCACTCACTTACCATCTACCCCCATTCCAAAGGCAATCGTGGCAATTAACATTCGCATAGTTCCATTTATTGACTGGAAAGAGAGAAGAATTGTCTCTTTGTTTGCAGATGGTGTGCAGGAGTGGAGCATTTCCACAAGTGCATTTTCTGGATCATCATCAGTTCCAGTATAAATATCCTTCCCAAGCATGCCTTTGATCATTCCGTATAAAATATTGCATTGCTTGATAGTCTGGCAATAAATAATGGTTCTTTTGGATAATTTACCTTCCAATTTTAACTATTCAACCAGCCACTCAAAATAGAGCTCATGGTCAGTATCTTTTTGCATACAATGCACAATGTAAGTTACATTTGGCTTGTTTGGGCCTTCTTGGACTTCAAATGATTTCTCCATAAGAAGGATGTTTAAAAATGGTTTCTTTTGTCAAGTTTGTCCCCGTTGCAGTCAAAGCAATCATGTTGGCATTTGGTGCTAATGATCACAGGTCGTAAAGTCGGCCATAATTAACACTCACGGAATGCTGCCATTTTATTGTCCTCAGGTGTTCCCCTTCAATGTATCCATGTATGTAGACTGATTAGTGGCTTGTGAGTGAAGAAAACATAAATTACTTAAAAAAAAAATAATAATAATGAAAACTTTTAAATTAAGATTGAATATGTTTGAAATAAATCATTTTTTAAGAGTATTACAGGAAAATTATTAAAGAAACTAAACTTACAATGTTTCTTAAGATAATTTTAGCGGAGAAGAATGAATAATTATTTTTAATTATTGTTTAGTGTGTGTGTTTGTATCCCATTTCTACTCACATTTTTATTCAAATATAGGTGAAATTGTTTCTTTGAAAGTTTGAAACGTCAAGGATGGAAATCGCGATAAAACTCGGACTTACCAGTGCCGTAAAACATAAGCTTCATCGACAGCCACAACACAAGGTTTCTTCGAGTAGCGGTAGTCAGAAAACGGCCTAATATGTGACTGTCTGTAGACTGTAAGATTTTACACCACTATCTGCGTCGGTGTATATATATGTAAGATTTTAAGCCGTTAACTAACGGCGTAAGATCTTACAGTATACAATATTCCGAGTGAAAGAAACTACGCCGTTAGTTACTGGCGTAAAATCTTACATATATATATATATATCACCGACTGGAAGCAATTACGCCGTTTAAGTTACTGGCGTAAAATCTTACAGTATATAAGATACCGACTGGAAGAAATTACGCCGTTAGTTACACGTAGGCAAACCATGCATATTTTATAGTGGCTAGCAAGTAAATTTTGCCGGACTTTGAGTTGGTCTCAAGATAGAACAACGCAAATACACAAGGAAATTGTTACAGTAACTTTTTAACCATCCTTTCGTCTTTTAAAAGCTCGACGCTCAGTAGATCCTGTCGTAACGGTTGTTAAAACTGTCTTTGTTTTGATGTTACTTTTCGACAGGAATATTTATCAAAAAATAAATATTTCTTTGCCAGCTCCAGTAATGACAGGGTATTAAGTTTAGATGATAAAACAAGGGATTATGTTGACAGAAATACCGGAGGTCAGGTTTATGGTCACACAACTCGGGTAATATTCACGGTGAAAATTTGCATATTTGAACGGTCGAACGAAAAAAATCATTTCTCGAAAACTAACATATATTTAGACAAAAAAAACTACGCTAAAATTATGAGGACATATTGGGCTACAAAATATGAAAGCAGGGTGAAAGCAAATTTTGGGTGACTTGCCGCTGTTTGTCTGGTGCATGCTGACCTTAGCTCTTAAGCTATTGTCCTGATCAACCAATCAGACAACGAGGTGACACTAAAACAGGTAAACAACGGACAAAATTTGAATATTCGGGGTTTGCTGTGAGCACCTAACCTTGGACTACTTTCGCTAAAATGCTATCGAAGGGGAAGAGATGCGGTGAAATTGACCACAAAGCGTATCATAAAAGAGTTAAGAATGGTAAAGTTTCAAGTTGAATATCCTAAGATTTCATTTTGGGAACTTTGGGGATGGATTATTCCTTTTAAAATCACAGGCGAAAAGCTTATATTAATAGATTACAAATTTTGAAGTACGAACCTCAGATAAATATTTAGGCATCATAGCTTTTCGCAAGTTTGACGTCGGAATCCCATATGAATATTATTTTTTCTTACAGTAAATAACAGCGATGGTAAAGCAAGCTTAAAACGGCAGAAATCGCCAGAAAATAGAACGGACACCTAGGATGTGAGTAAGCTTTATTGATTTTACTTGTAGAATGTTCATATTTGGAAATATTTATCGTTGTAAATCGACCATATTTCGTTACCCACACTATTCCTTTTTCAAAAACCAGTAAATTGCTCAGGCTTAAAATGTATTAAAATTATCAATGGTTCCTTTCGTAACTCAACACGCTTTCATGAATTGATCGTTGGCTTTTTTTCTCGAGACGTGAGCTTGGGCTGCCTGTGCATAATATTGACTTGTTTGGCGCTCTTTAAATATTAATGCCCCGTAAATAAAATTCGTATCCCCGCACGACCATGTAATGTCCTCTCTCTCTCTCTCTCTCTATAAATATATATATATATAGGAAGTCTGTGTATTGATTTTTCCGTTTTACAGTGCTCGATACATAGAAGTAGAGCGCGATATATGTTGCGATAGGGAAAAAAACAGAGACTATACTTTCATCCTACAAGCCTGTGTCGTGATTGCTCACTTATCAGGGGATTTTATAAAATCCCAAAATCCCCTGATGAGTGAGCAATCACGAAACAGGCTTGTAGGGATGAGAGTCCAGTCTCTCTGTTTTTTCTTCTGTCGCAACAACAGATGGTAAAAGTATACTGATTGATAAAAAGAAGCTTACCATATTTAGCTCTTGCTGCTTCTCATACCATAATTAATAGTCATGAAAGAAGTTATTTTCCTAAACTCATAACTAATAAGATATAAATGAATGTATCTTTTGAATATTCTTATTCTCAATGTATGTCTATTAGATCTATACAATTTGTTAACATATGAGAGCAATTAATTTAGATTTTAATGGTTAATCTGGGTCTAAAGGCAGGATTGTAGAAACTTCATGAAAATCTTTATGTGAATACTTATTTCTCACAGCCATCAAGTTTTTGTCAGCTGGTGCACTGTTCATTGCATTGAGCTGTAATACACAATCACATAGCTGTTCCTTGCTGTAGCCTGTGTAATGTACCAAAGTAACTGTCCATTCTCCACAGTTCTTCATCATCATAGCCAGGTTCAAGCAAGATGAAGCCATCAGTGAGGCTCTTCTTGGAATAAATTGATCTTCAAGAAGGGAGCATTCCAGAAGATAATAAGCCAATGTGAGTGTTTTACCACTTACAAATGCAGCCTGAAGACAAGAATAATGATATAACTAAAACATGAAGCATGAGAATGAATAAGAAGAGTCTAGTTGGACAACTGACTCTAGAGCAAAAGATGGACAGCATATTGACTGAAAGTGTTTATTACAACTTGAGCTAATGCACCAGAGTGTTTTGTTATGGCATGTTTAAACAGAGCATTTTTTCCCAAAGGTAGCAAGAAAGACAACTATGGAAACTGTACCAGAACTTGAGATTTGTGACATCACAGGGAATTGGATTATGATACTAGAAGGGGACAAACATCATATAAATATATCATCTTCAACGTGGAGGTAACAACACATTGAGGTCTGTTGTAAAATAGTTTTAATAAAGGTGCAGCTACTTGGAATCCTAGTACATTTCCTCAATGAAAACCTTTAGGCAAAGTCGGTTCATTCACAATTTAAATTTTATGTGCGTCATACAATAACAATATTGGTTTTTCTAACCTTTGCATATCGCCTGAGGAACCTGTAAGGAATGGGGATGTTAATATCAAATCCCAAACTGGACAAGATTTTAATTTCCATTGCAATAAACTGCTGTTGTTTGTATGCATCATCACAGATGAAAATGAAGTCATCCATGCGTGGAGGATCTCGCTCCTAGAATGAAATAAAGGTAGATGTGATTGAAACAGTATCTTCTACTCAGTCTTGTTTTTACATAAAGAATTTTGTTCAACCTCATACTGTTCCAGACCCAAGCTGTAGACACAATGGTTATCTGTATTGTTCTTAGTTTATTTTAACACTCTATTGCAGTTGAAGTATGGTATTATATGGAAATCTTTCCATTTCAATTTAGCAGCTTCAAAATTTCATAAGACTTTTTATTCTGCTTAAAATCTTCATGTACGCTGCAATTGAGTCATTTGGCCGCTGAAACATTTGTGCAGGTAAAGTTAAAGTTACTGTTTTAATTATGCGAAGACTATGTGGACATTTAAGTTTCTTTGAGGCATCTTTCATCCACAAAATGATGTGTTTTTATACAACTTCTGATGCACATGCAGATCAGGGGAAAGAGTTGTACCTCTAATTTAGATGAGATAAAAAGAGATGTAGCTCCAACAAGCTGCAGTTCATCCTGCTTTATTGTGTTCCTCTCAAGGAAATGATCCAGAAGTTTCACACCCAGATACAGGGTTTCATGGTAAAGTTTTAACTGTTCTTGAACCTCAACCAACCAATTAACCAATGTGGCTCTCATCTGTGCACTTATCTCTGGCTGTCTTTGTAAGTAGTTTGTCAGTGGAAAACATTCCTGAAAGTTGGAAGATAAATTATGATTAACAAATTTCTGGTGACAATCCTGTCCAGTTTTTAGTGTATTCAAGTTATCTTAACAGAATCAGGTTGCTGTGACTCCAACATGGACTATAAAAAAGTGAGCTTGTTCAGTCTTATTACCTCCCTTTTCTTCATATTCACAAAGATTTCATTTGCATAATCAGACACAGTTACAGGATCCGATGTGTCAGCATCGATGTTAATCACTGCATCAGCAGCTAATTTTCCATCCTGCAGAAATAACGAGTAACTGATTCACTGAAAATTGTCAAGTCAAATCTGACTGATTTATGTGTATGTACCTTAATCAAGATGATCATGATTTACAGTTGATTATTCAACATGAGAGGAGCATTCATTAGCTATGAAAATTGGTTGAAAGCTTATCTGCCATCTATGATCATGGAAAAAATCAAGAGAGTTTTGTAACTTAGGAAAGTGTTTCAAAGAATTTTGTTTTGTTCCTTTTCCAAGTCGGAGGTTTATCTGTTCATAAGGTAGACAACTGCATAGAAACCATTTTGAACTATGGTGAAACAAAAGAGAAGGGGTTACTGATCTAGTCAATTCTGAAGACAAATGCATAGATTTTTAGTTCTCCATGTATTTGTGGATGCTAAAATGCTAAAACTCACATTTTTATTGGAGTGTTGTTCTTCCTCTGACTTATTCTTGTTATCATCAGAGCCTAAATTACAACTTGAAAAGAAAAGATATTGCTTAATAGTAATTATCATATCTTACCACAAAATAATTTATCAATAATAAATGCAAGTAAAGATCACTGTCAGTTGTAATTCAGTGCAACAGCAAAATTCAACTGAGTATTCAAAACAATATGTGACTGCTTTGGATTTCCTTAACTTAACTGTGTGATTGTCCAGTAAACTTAGGCTGGGTTCTTGACCTATCAGTTTAAAACTGAAAGGGATTGTCACTTAGTAACTCTTGTTTTCCTACTCTTCCGGTACTTAGTTTGTTTTTGTTTTGAGTTCTTGAAATTTTTTCTACTGATTGGCTCTTGTTATTACATTGGTGTTGGTTTTACAACTCTAACTTTAAATGTCCCCCAGATATATATATACAACACAAGTGATTGCAATCAAAGCTAAGAAATTAAAAGAATACCTAAGTGGCTCTTCCAAGCTTGTTGAAGCAGAATTACTGACACTTAGACTTCCTGTAGAATCCAGACATTCACCTTTAGTGCTAAAAAAATAGAAATTACATTATGTCATTAAACAATTTCAGGAAAGGTATCAGTGATAACCTATTTAAATGGAAAAGCCTTTTAAATCATGCACTTCTCTATTATATTTTCTTTGAAAGTCAATTTTACATGCCAATTGCTAGCTTCAAAGTTTTGGGGAAGTTCTGACATTTTTATAATGCAATGACCAATCCAGAATTTTTGAATGATAATTGTCCGATATTAGGTTATAATTTTTGAATTATTGGAATAGTTGAGAAATGAATTTAAAAACATTATGTCTGAATATCAGGTACCGATGACTTTGGATTCAAATCAGTATTTTACCTATTTTCTTTCGTGATAAAGATCTGGAGTAAACAATATCTGAAACCGTACTGCACGAAGGGATAATAGGAAGGCTAGCTTAATATCTGTCAAGAACTGACAAAATGTGTGTTTTTAACCGTGCAGAAATTTTCAAATTATCCTGGGAATTAGAAGATTTTCCGCTCCCGTTTCCGTAGTTTAAAGTATCACTAGGTGGCGACGAAGGCTGAGATTTCACTATGGAGACTTACGGTTTTTGATCTTTAATAGGCGAATCTTTTTCTTCACACCTGTTTTGTTTTACTTTTGTACTAGTCTTTGTAAAACATTGCCTCCATTCCTTTTCTTTTCGCACGATGCTGTTCTTTTCCCCTCCTCTCTCAGGCTGCTTATTGAAAGACGCCTAAGAACCAAAAGAAAATATTTTACCTGTGTCTTCGAGGGAAATACACAAAGAAATATCCTATAGTATGCGTTCAAGAACTTGGGAAAATTTCCTCACATTTGTGATATCACCAAAAGCTGCTCTTTTTCGTGGAGAAACGTTCTCCGGAGAACCATCTGCTGGTCGCTTCGTCTTAACGGCTTTCTCCTTAAGATGGGCGGGAATTTCTTCTTCACCTAGAGAACAATCCTGCTGGAAAGAAATCACATACAGCACAACAACATGAGACGTGTTCCAACAGGGAATGACTGGAAGTCAACCGTTTCATACATTTTACGTGGTCAATTGCTGTTTGTCACTGACCTTGTGTTTCTTGTGAATCACCGAAATTGAAGGTTTGGAGTGCGTTTTATCCATCTTCACTAGAGAGTATGTAAAATTTATTTTTACAAAGTAAAACCCTACCACCTGTTATTCAAAGTGCCGTTAAATTTTTCTTCCTGTTTCTTTGTTTGAACGATGTCGATTTCCCAGCCACGCAATATCACGCGATATTGCGTGACAATAAATTTACTAGCATAAATTAAATCTTCGTTTTACCATTTTAGGAGCGAGATTCATTATGCATGGCGACTTCATTTCCATCTGTGACAATGCATGTAAACGACAGTAGTTTATTGCAATGGAAACTGATATCTTGTCCAGTTTGATATTAACATCCCCATTCCTTACAGATTCTTCAGGCGATATGCAAAGGTTAGAAAAACCTATATTGTTATTATACGACGCGCATAAAATTTAAATTGTGAATGTTATTCACTAACTTTGCCTAAAGGTTTTTATTGAGGAAATGTAACAGGATTCCAAGCAGCTGCACCTTTATTAAAACTGTTTTACAACAAACCTCAATGTGTTGTTACCTCCACATTGAAGATGATATATTTATATGACGTTTGTCCCCTTCTAGTATCATAATCCAATTCCCTGTGATGTCACAAATCTCAAGTTCTGGTACACTGTTTCCATAGTTGTGTTTCTTGCTTCCTTTGGGAAAAGAAGGTCTGTAAACTCCCCATAACAAAACACTCTGGTGCATAAGCTCAAGTTTTAATAAACACTTTCAGTCAATATGCTGTCCATCATTTCCTCTAGAGTCAGTTGTCCAACTAGACTCTTCTTATTCATTCTCATGCTTCATGTTTTAGTTATATCATTATTCTTGTCTTCAGGCTACATTTATAAGCATTGAAACACTCACATTGGCACTTTATCTTCTGGAATGCTCCCTTCTTGAAGAAGAATTTATTCCAAGAAGAGCCTCAATGATGGCTTCATCTTGCTTAAACCTGGCAATGTTGATTAAGAACTGTGGAGAATGGACAGTTACTTTGGTACAATACACAGGCTACAGCAAGGCACAACTACATGATTGTGTGTCACATTTCAATGCAATGAACAGTGCACCAGCTGACGAAAACTTGATGACTGTGAGAAATAACTATTCACATAAAGTGTTTCATGATTAACCATTAAAATCTAAATTAATTGCTCTCATATATTTACAAATTGTATAGATCTGATAGACATAAGTTGAGAATAAGAATATTCAAAAGATACATATATTTTTTAATATCTTTTATTAGTTATGTCTTTAGGAAAATACTTTTTTTTCATGACTATTATGGTATTAGAAGCAGCAAGAGCTAAATCTATTTAGCCTATTTTTATCAATCAATATACTTTTACCATCTGATTTTTACGGATAATTTTTTCTTTGTTCCACGCTCGTGACAAGACAAAAAACATCTTCCTCTAACTTACAGATATTTCCTTCTATTGATGTGAACGAATAGATGTAAATCACTGATGATTTGGCCAGAAACTCGATGTAATTAAAGCGAACGCTGATACAATATGCAATGAAAAACGAGAACTAAGAAATCTTTTGAAACGAAACACATGATGATCGACGAGTTAAATTTAAGAACAAGTGTAACGCACGCAGGGGAAAAGTCACGCATGTTTGAATCTTGATTACCGGCCCCAAATGCGAACTGAGCATTTAAACTTAATTAGTCGAGTGATCTAAACAGAAAAAACTTGTCAATGAGTAATATGTTGTCACTAAATTCATTCCAAATGGTTCTTCACAATCAAGTCAATAAAGGAATAACTGTTCTCTTAAGTTACAAGCAAACTCCTTGGTTGAGGACATGCCTAGCTACTCTCGTGTCTAGGAGCCTTTAGAGGAACGATCTTGTCGATGGGACGTTCCAGGACTACGGATTTGATTTTCGGCGTGAATCTCCTCACAAGCCCGTCTCCCGTGTTTGGTTTTACTTCCAGGATGCGACCAAGGGGCCACAAGTTTCTCGGGGAGTTCTCGTCTACCACGAGTACAAGGTCTCCAACTTCGAAGTTACTTGTTGGTCTTGACCACTTCTGTCGTTCTTGCAAACTAGGAAGATACTCCTTGAACCACCTTCGCCAAAACACGTCCGATAGGTGTTGCATTTGGCACCACCTCCCACGGGAATAAAGATCCCCGTTTCTAAAAATCCAGGGCGGCAGTGTAGAACCAGACCGCAGTTATAGAAAGTCATTGGCGTAAAGGCTTCAAGGTCTCGTGGGTCGTCGTACACTTTATTTAGGGGTGTGCTGTTGACAATAGACTCCACTTCACATATAAGCGTTGCGAGTCCTTCGTCATCAAAGACTTGTTCCTTTAGAAAAGCATTCATCACCTTTCGCACGGTGCGAATGCAGCGTTCCCATACGCCACCGCGGTGAGAGCCTGCGGGGGGGTTGGGGCTGGTGGGGGGAGTTGTTGAAAACCTACTCAATGTTTCGCTGGAGGAGGAATTCTGTGATCACTTCCTAGTTCCAGCTCTTGGTGGCAACCCTCAGCTCCCTCTCGGCCCGTACAAAATTTCCGCCAGTATCTGATCTCATCTGCTCTGGCTCTCCTCTTCTGGCGATGAAACGACGCATACTGTTGATGAAGGAGTCCAGGCTGTGGGCTACCTCAATTTGGACTGCACGTATGGTTAGGCAGGTAAATAGCACGCCGTTTCCTTTAACTTCACTCCTCCCGCGACGAACCAGACTGAGGCCCAAAAAGTCGACCCCGACATAGGTAAATGAGGGTTTGTCCGGAGTGATTCTATCCTTTGGAAGGTTTGCCATCTTTTGCTGTCCGACTGGAGATTGTCTCCTTCTGCAGCTGAGACAGGTATTGAGGGACTTCCTCTCTGCAGCTCTTGCCTTAATCCAAAATTTCTCTCTGATCACGGAAAGTACATGTTCTGTGCCAGAGTGCTCAGACGTGTGATGATAGTAGCTGATGATTAAACGGATAACTTGGTGAGTAGTTGGCAGAATTGTGGAATGTTTAGCATCCAGTTGAAGGTGTGCATTTTCGAGCCATCCTCCTACACGTAGCAAGCCGTCCATCAACCTTGAGTCGATTTTGAAGATTCTGCTCGACTTCTTAACTTGACCTTTCCTTGCTCTGGCGACGCATCCTTTTCCAACTTAATTCAGAACCTGTGGCTTGTAGAATTGCAATCTCTTCTTTGAATCTCTCTTTCACATGTCTTTGGATCTCCCTTTCAGCCTTGTCCTTTTCCTCCACGGAGATTGGGTCTATTTTTGCTGTCTTATTGGGGAGCGTGGATCCTAAATTTCTCTTCTTAGGTTTGTTCGTTAACAAAGAATGCAAGCCACAAACCTCTTGAAGCGATGCCACGAGGAGAAGCGTCTAAAGAGCTCGTTGATTGTCATCACTCCTACTTCAACGTTTGCAGAAAATACTTGTGGTTCTCTCTTGACCTCTGGGTCGTTGTCTGCGACTGTACAGTCTTTAAACTGTCGACGTGGCCAGAGCCTTTCAGATTTCCAAAGGGAGGCGGGTCCTGTTAGCCGACGTTCGTTCTTCAGCAAGGCTTCGGCTGAGAGGCCGTGTTAGGCGTCATCTCTCGGGGTTTGCTTTGTGCCAAAGTGTTTCCATTTAGGAGAGGATGTAACTTTTTATATTGCTGCGACGCGATTTGCCACGAAGGTATGGAACCATTTGTCTTCGTTAGCGATGTAGCCTAGAACGCAGGTACTGTCCGTCTAGAAGATAGACTCGTTGACCGATATGCCGATTTCCTATCTAACTATCTTATCGAGTCGTGTTGCTTCTACAACTGCTGAGAGCTCAAGGCGAGGAATTGTCAACTATTTCAGCTGAGGTAAGCGGAATTTGCCAATTATGAGGGAACAGTGGACGTCACCTTTAGGATTGGTGACGCGGAGGTAGGTGACAGCGCCATATGCGCGCTGGGAGGCATCTGCGAAATGGTGCAATTGAGTGGAGCTAACCTTCCCGAAGTCGTTTGACTTAAAACAGCGTTTGACATTGAGGCTTTCGAGCCTAGGCAGCTTATCAAACATGTTCCTCCAGCGAGTGAGGTCCTCAGCTGATATAGGATCATCCCACTCCAGATTCTGGCAACATGGGTCTTGCAGTAACGTCTTTGCTGGCAGGGTGAATGGAGCTTCAAACCCTAACTGGTCGTAGACAGAGCTGACCACGGATAAGATTCCTCGTCTTGCCGGAGGCTTGCCTTTCACGCTCATCTCGATACCAAAGGTATCGGACTCCACATCCCATCTTACTCCCCAGGCCCGCTCGATTGGCAGTTGATCGAGGCGAAGATCTTTCACAGATCTTGCCCTCTCGGACATTGAGATGGACTCGATGACGTTTCGCGAGTTAGAGATCTATTTAGTCAAGCAGAATCCCCCCTTAGAGAGTAGTTGACAGATCAGCAATGTCGATAGCGTAATGGCTGTAGATAGAAATAAGAGAGATGGTAAGTTTTTTATTCCTAGTGGGGACTCAGAATTTTTTCTTTGCTCCACGCTCGTGGCAAGACGAAAAACATTTCCCTCTAACTTACAGATATTTCCTCCTATTGATGCGAACGAATAGGTATAAATCACTGATGATCTGGCCAGAAACTCGATGTAATTAAAGCGAACGCTGATACAATATGCAATTAAAAATGAGAACTAAGAAATCTTGTAAAACGAAACACATGATGATCGATGAGTTAAATTTAAGAACAAGTGTAACGCACGCAGGGGAAAACGGTTACGCACGTTTGAATCTTACGCCTTGCACTTCTAAAGCAACTAGGGAATCGTACTCTGCCAGACAAACTGACTTAAAAGTGAGTAAAAAAGTCAGTAACTTAGTTAAACTTCAAACTGACTTACTTACTTGCTGAAATAGTGCTGGAGTATTTCAAGAGGAAAGAAAATTGAGCAGAAAAAAGTACAAAATTTGCTGGTTAAAAAAACCTTAGTTGGGTGCTTCGTACAACAAATACATCAAAAGTAATTTGTATTCTCCCTGTAAAATGTACGGAACACTAACGAAAGAACACGTCGATGATCTTCAACCTTTCCCTCTCTTTGCAAACCTCGTTCCTACTCAACAGCGACTTCCCAGCTTACTGTTTGTCAACAGCAAGTTTGGAAATGACTGTAAATATAAGAAAATCATATATGTGCACTGCGGTGAAGAAATGAGATATAAGCGACCCCTGCAGCTATGAACACTACTGAACTAGTAGTTGAAATGAGACCTGAAAAAATTCAGGCTCGTACGGGATTTGAACCCATGACCGTGATACCGGTGCAGCGCTCTACCAACTGAGCTAACAACTGGGTGCTGGTCATAATTATGGATCCACATGAACCTTTCAAGTGGTGAATAATGACTGGAAATATATGAAAATCATATGTGTGCAATGCGGTGAAGAAATGGGATATAACCGACCCTCGCAGCTATGAACATTAGTGAACTAGTACTTGAAATGAGACCTTAAAAGGCCGTACGGGCCTGAATTTTTTTCAGGTCTCACTTCAACTACTAGTTCAGTAGTGTTCATAGTTGCGAGGGTCGCTTATATTTCAAGTTTGGAAATGTTCCCAAAGGATGTTTGCTTTCTTATCAATTGAAGGTGTCTTCAGACTACGTCATCAATGATTTCACCTTTACCGCATTCCCAGAATTGCCACCAGAAAAGGCTGAGCAAAGGTTTAGCAATAATGTGTCAGTTTGCTTGAACAATCAGTAACAAATCATCTTTGATTCCCTGGCTGTAACCACTGAAGCGTCACTCAAAGTACACAAACAAACTGTTACACAGAACTTAAGTGACACATAGCATCTCAGAAAGAAAAGGATCACCGCAAGTAAGTTTAGCTTAAGTTTGGAGTTGTTGCTGGTCGTGTAGCCAGTTTCGATTATCTGGCAATCCAGCTAAACCCCAGCAGATATGTGCAAACAGCTCACATTACAAGGGGGCTGGAACTTGAACCTCATGCAGCTATGGTTTATGTCAATACTGCAATGGGTGGGGGAGTTAATCTCTTCCCATCAGGATTGATTATCCATCCAAGTGCCCATGGTTAGGATGCAACCCAAACTGAAAAGTGTATGACTAGGATGCTGTAAACAATGGTCGAAACCCCTTTGGTTCACTTGAAATTAAAAGTTGCAAAAAAGGACGAGACATCATTTGATGATGTTAAGTATCTTACCATGGATAAAACCACAAACCGGTATATGATAAAGAATAGCGATATTTACTATTATCAAGTGTAATGTCAGCTGGGCCTTACTAGACTAGATTAGTGTGATTTCTGTAGTTACATGGATGATAACGGCTTTTTTTTTTTGGCACAAGAATAGTTTTTGATTCAATATAGAAATCCATCATTCCATAAAGAACAGCTCCCCCATGATAGCATGCGGTAGCTTTAGTTGGATGTTTTCTCACGCATTGATAGGCAGTTTACAAGTGAAAACTTTCACGCAAAAGAAAAACAAAACAGAAATAACAACGGTAAAATCAATTTAAATTCCCTGTTGTTAACACTCTATTTCCGGCCAAATAAGTTCCCTCTGTAAATCACACTTCGTGCGTGTAGTCTATTGTTTTCCCATCAACTAATTGAAAACATTAAATTAATCCACTCTCGAAGAGGTCACCGCTGACACGGAGCAAAATTGACCTTGGGCTCGAGATTGCTGGAATGCTTACTCTCCAGTTTTGCGTCGCTACCCAGTATCCAAGCACGTGACCTCTAGCTGCAAAGGGCCTATTGTCAACAGTTACAATATTTGGATATGCATTTGTGAAAATGACATGGCACTCTTTAAAAGACACATGTTACATGCATGTAGGATCAAATATGTACAGATACTGCAATAGTTTTAATAAAGTAAATAAATTAATAACAAAATAAGTTAGTTGGTTTGCAGAGCATTGACTTGTTTGTCAAATTTGTAAATTTTTTTTATCTGGTTACTGATTATACTGGATAGAGGACATACTGAAATATATTATTGATAAAAAAATATGTCATTTAACTAAATGCATAATCACTTGTATCTTTTTCAATCTTCATGTCTGTCTCTGCGGTTTTGAACAATATTCAAGACTACCTTAGCATGTTATGTCAGTCAAAGGGCCATCAAAATGTTTGTAATATTTGGTTGAACCACCATTTATGAATTTTAAGCTCAAAAGAGACCTTTCAGAACCTCACACCACACAAATATGATTGTTAAACTAGATGCTTTCCCTTATGGATGTATTTTTTAATTTTGGAAACTAGAAAAACTTTTAGGCACAATGCCACATTGAAAGGTGCGTGTTACCTCATAGATACTGCCAACATTTTTTGTCTATTTTGGGGTATAGTCACATGGCCTGCATTGGTAGAGCTTCCACTGTTTCTCTAGCACAGCAGTTTCTAATCTATCTCCATATCTCTCTTCCTTACAGCTCTGTCTTTCTAATGATACCTTAGGATGTTTTCCAGTGCCACAAACACCCCACCCACCCAATACAGATATTACTTCAACCTACAAACATTTACAGGTAGTGTATGCATTAGAGTCGTATTTTTGAAGCCAGATCTTTCCTTATAGTGTCAACTTCTTTTTTCTCTTTTTCATGTCTCAGTCTCAATATTTCAAGTATTGTAATTTCCTGGTCATCATCAGCTTGAGTGTCACTCAATCCTGGACTACCTCTCCTCCTGCTTACCATCTGCTTTGGTTTAGGGACATTCTTGGCATAGGTCAAAGCCTGAAAGACAAAGTGAGCAGTTTTAAAGAGAGTGCAATTCTAGCCATTGAGCAGGGTCAGTGGGCTTTTCTAACCAATAAGTGAGGTTTCTGAGAGATCTGGTATGACCAGGCCTCTCTCATGATTGCTACCTTGAATTTTGAGGGTTTTGTCATTGGGGCTGCCTTGCAAGTGAATGCCTGTTCTAAGGCTAATTCAATTCTTGCATGAGTATTATGTGTTAAGATTACTCCTGACCTCAAGTACCCCATCGATGGAAATGTACTACTTACAGCTTGCCGTTTTGCCTCCGCCTCCTTAATATGTTTAGGTTTAACTGGCTGTTGAATTGATCCTTTTTTCTCCTGCTGTTTCTTCATGGTTGAGTGCTGGGCCCTCAACATTGCTGCATACTCTCTTTGCTTACTGACTTTTCTCATCTAAAAATTTTTAAGGACAGTTGTGGCAATTTTTGCAAAGTACATTATTTCATACTCTGTTAAAGGTATGTTAAGTCTGTACTCAAGTCAAGAGGCCCATGCAACCAGAGATTATCCCAGTTTGCCTAGTATGAAGTCACCAGCAGTATGATAGGATCCCTGAGAGGATGCCAGTCCGTTTTGAGGGAGCCTTCAGCATTTCATGAAGCTTCCCTGATAATTTGCCAATACCCATTTATATTCCTGGGTGACAAGAGGCATTGTGAGAGTAGAATGACAAGCCCATGAACAAAATGCATTCAAACCCTTTAACCCCTGAGAGTGATTAGCAACTAATTTCTCATATCAGTATCACCCCTAAAACAAACTTTGAGGTTATGAGAATAAAGGAAATGATCACCAACTAAAGAAGCTCTTGATTGTTAAACAAATTCTCCTTGTCAGTACCATAGGAAATTTATTGAGAACATTATGGAGAAAATCTACACTGATGTCAGGGTGTAATGGGTTAACCCTGACCAAGTCCTGAACCTGAATTTTTGATGAAGAGTCCAGTGTACCAACCATAAGTCTGCTGCATCTCCCAGTGTGTACAGTGTGACTGTGACCTCAAAATGTGGTGAGAACATCAGTCATGCACTATGACGGGCCTTGTGTGCCACTATTTCGTTCTTACTGCATTTTGACATCATTTGTGATCTACAGCTGTACATATGTTGCTGAACAGATCCAGGGCAACATGGAATCTATTTGCTAATTAGATTAGAGTGTACCCATAATGCATGTTTTACATGTGGTCATAATCCCCAAATAAATGATGCAAACCCTGCCTGGGTTTGTACATGAACCAGCAAATATACCTCTTGCCAAAAGCAACTTGCAGACCATAAAAGCTCAAACCATTGACTCCAGCAAATGGACTGGTAATTTTTAACTGTGCAAGATTGTTAAAAAGGTTTTGAGTTAGCTGACTGTGATAAAAAAAAAACATGTAGGCTGCATAATGTCATGCTCTCTTGCTGAAAATTGACCCACACGCTTTCAGAATAGACAACAGAATGCACTGTTTGTCAGCCTGTATTGATGACCCTGAATGCTTCAATTAAAAAAAAAAAACAATCTTTACCTTCTCTTTAAAGTCATCAGTGTCATTGTTTGGTCCTAAGCCACCAGCAGGCCGCTCAACCTCAGAGCCAACAAAATTTCTGTAGTCCTTTAAGCTGTATGGTTTGTACTGAAACAATGGTTGTCTTAAGCTGGAATAACTTCCTGATGCTTTACTGCTTCTGTCAGCATCTGCCATCCCATGTAATGATAAAGAACTTGGATTTGCTAAGTACGGTTCTGAGGAAAATTTCCTGTGTAAACTGGATTCTGGGAATTTGTTTGCTTTTTGTAAATTTTGAAAATCAGTGTCAGATAAGGCTGATGATGAATTATAATCTTCTTCGTGCAAATTATGTACACTGGAGATGAGAGGTGTACGCTGGTAACCGTAAACACCTGGGGGTGCAGACTGGGTGGAGAGAGAGTTATAATGTGTTGGTTGAAAAGACCCAGCCATTGAATGCCTCTGTCTTGAGTTTGCTGCAGCACTTTGGTATCCTCTGCTATAACCAACTAGATCTGAATAATTTGATTCTAAAGGATTATAGTATGAGCCAAAGTCTTGGCTGACATCGTAGTAAGGACCATGTGAATGACTGTGATATGTGTCAAGTGACTTCTCTAGAGAGCTGTCTCCTAGTAAGTTTTGATCATTATCATAGTGAACTGGACTTACAGAGTTTTGGCTATTAAAATCATCACTGATTTTGTGAGAATGCTGTGACTGACTCTCTAAGCCTGAGCCAGGTACATTCGCAGCAGCTTCTTCGGTTTGGTTTCTAGTTTTTTCTTTGATTTTTTCGACCTTTTTTATCGTCCTCATTCCGTGAACTTGAGCATAGCCAGTCCTCTCGGGAACCTTCCTCCCAACCCTCTCTTTGTTTCTTTCTATAATGTGCTGTGGCTTTCGCGGTTTAGGCTTTCCGACTTTTTTGCTGTGTTTCATGTTGTCATTTAGTAGCGGAGTAGAACTCTTGTGAATATCCGAAATGTCTTCCGAAGTCTCTACCTGCGAAGGCTCGATTTTCATCTTGGTGGATTCAACTCGTTTGGGTTCGTTTAATTCTCCAGGCTTTGAGAACTCGAGGGAATCGTTTAATGAAGACTCCAAACTATCAGTGACCCTTTCCGTCTGTTCTTCCTGACCACTGGACGCGACCATGCTACGAATAACATCTTCATCCGACGGTTCTTCATCCAATATGGCGGCCAAAACAGTAGGCGACGCAAAGGTCGTTATTTTGTCTTCAGCGCCGTTGTTGCTTTGTCTTTCTTCGAGGCTTTCCATTCAGCATACATCGAAAAACAAATTACATCATTGTGTGCAGTTTAGAAAATTAACTAAACAGCTAAAAACATTCACAAGAAAATCCAGTTTTCAGGCACGACAAAACTACCCACGATGCATTACTCGTTGCCATGGACTACAGTTCAATTGGAGGGAGGGGTGGTAGGGGCACTACCAAAATAAGGAGGTGTAGAAACGTAAGTCGAAATTTTCTTCAATCTGAGAGTATTACGGGAGAAGCCCTCCCCTATTGCACAGGGTAAGCGTTGTCTTAGAAAAGCCTGGATCCTACTCAACACAGCAACAAGTAAAGCCGATAAAAATCTTGTGAACGATGATTTGACGGATGGTGTGTTGTCTTTTTGGTAGAGAGGAAAAAGATTGAATAATTTTAGGGTATTCCTTTAGGTCTCTTTTATTCTCACCGAAGAGCCGAGTTTCACGTTTGAACGGAAAACTCTCTATGTTTTGCGCTGAGGAAAAAAATAATTATAGTAAATTTCATACATTGGCATATTTACAACACTAAAAAAGAATCGAAAATTAATCACGGTCTCCTGGAGAAGTGAAGAATACACAGCTAAGGGCTCCCGATATTTTAACTTGGTAAGCTGAAAAGTGTAACAGCAAATGATGAGTGTAATTTTATTCGTATCTGTCAACATTGGGGCATTTTCTGGACGAGACGATCAGTTAATAGCTTCATCATCAGCGCTTCCGCAGAAGTATCTCTCCGCTGGCTGGTAATTACGAGGTCTTTACCAACGCAAGCCGGCGAGAGGTTTGGTTCTGGCTCGTGCCAAACCCCAGGCAAATCTCCTCCTGACTTGTCTCCTTCCCGCAGGCAGAGAAGAGCGCTTCCTGCAAGTTAATGAGGATCTGTTCGGAAGCTAATCAGCTAGCACCAATAGTGACCTTTTTGACGGCGTGGGCGGAAAGCTACTCTCAGATGTGATCTTTGGGGCAGAGAGAAACTACCATGTAAGTTAGAGTGAATATTGCGAGCATCATTTTTCAAATAATTTTATTATGTTTAATCTGGATTTCCTTAGCGTTATATGGGATCTGGAAATGACATCACACGTAACACGAAAAATTTCTTAAAATATCTGACTTTATAAGATAAAAGAAGTTGTTTCATCGCGCACACCACGTGACTACTCCTTCAACTGGCCACCATGAAGTTTTCCTAAAGCTGACGGTTCGAGCAAAAACCCTTCGTCAGAGCGAATTACGAAAGGGGCGAACACTCAGAGCGTCAGATTTAGACATTGTTTATAGTGATCGATTTACATTAACAACTCAGTTGATAAAACCAGATTACGTTATGATATCCCCAGACGCAGTACCACAGTTTCTTTAGAAACGTGTCCCCTTTGCTCCTTTAACTGTTGTAGCTATTGTTCAGTTGTCAACATCGCTCCTCAGTACATTCTTTCTGTTCTAGAAGCAGGCGATATTATAAGACCAGAGTGATTTAGGAAGAATCTAAAACAAGCCCAGCACAAAATCTTTAGAGTTCCAGAGCCTCGACTTTAACTGCGGTCACGAAAACAAGACTGACCATTCACATCATAAGTCAGACTAGAGCAATTTTCCATTGAGTACCGCAAGAAATCTGGGATTGCTTTGTTTTTTCTTCATTTCGCTCTGTGATTAGTTTAGAAAACTCGCATCACTTTCTCAACCAATTGGGTGTGCAAAACTAAAACCAATCATGACTTGGTCGCTCGCGTTTTCCCGCGCTTTGGGCAGATTGCTTATTTTTACCTTGAGTTCTCATTGGCTCTTAAATGCATTTTCGTTTTCCAGTGATTGGCCATTGTTATTAATTTGGTTTTTATTTTATGACACTCTATCGAAAAGCGCGTTAAATTCAGCTTCTCCAGTGGAATTTGGAGGTTTCGTCCCATTGCAGGTTCGCTCTCAACCAGTTCGCCTCGACCTCGGAGAGTGGTGGTAGAGACGACCATGTTAATTTTGATGAGGCTAACTCATCGTCATGGGGGCGAACTTGCAGTGGGAAGAAGCTTCCATAAACCCTACCAGTTGGTGCTTAGGACCGAAATAGGCATGATGACAAAGATGGCAGGGCCCATTCATCTCTTGTTTCTTGTAAACTGATTGGTCAGTTTTGAGTACAGAACTCCTGTAATAGAAGTCGTACTGTGACAGAGAAGTTTTCATCTTCGAAAAACTGGAATGCAAGAACTTTAATATCAGCTTTGGTTGTCTTCCTCATATCCTTCTGTTTTCATGTCTGATATTCCAAGATCGTCTTCTTGTTCCTTTGTTCTTGGGTAATGAACAATTTGCAGTTCAGGGTCTGGGTCTGGAGCATACAAATTCTGTAAAGAGGAAAGGGTTCTGTCTTGAGTCATGATGATAAAATCAAAAGACTTCTGTTTTCCACGACTTTTTTCCCCACAATTTGATTGAGACCAGTCAGTGGGAATACGTATTAACTTATGGAAATAGCTCCGCAAAAGTTATAATACTGCCAAGTTCTAGGGCTAGATGTTGAAAACTAACAAAGATATGAGTCTAAACATATCGCGGAGAGCAAAAAGTACCTCTGCACGTGAGTAACTTGCCTTTCGACTTCACCTCGTAGTTGCTTCCCCTTATTTGAGGCACAGGCCAGTGCGAGTCGGGCGCAAAGGAAGACGTGGGAAGAAAAAGACTCGTTCCCTTGCGCGTAACTCACACTCACGCTCATCTCGCGCATGACTCGCCTTGCAAGTTCGCCTCGCGTTTACTTCCACTTGTTTTAGGCGGAGAAAGTGTGTGTTAAGGGCGAAGGTAGTAGCGCAAAGTGAAAAAAAAGCTTCTTCCATGGCTTATCACTCGCCTATCGAGTTCGCCTTGCACTGTTTCCACTTGCATGAAGCGAAGAAAAGGGCGGGTCACGCTAATGGTACGAGCGCGAAAAGAAAAGCCCTCTCGCGCGCGTGTAACTCGCCGTTCGAGTTCGCCTTGTGCTTGCCTCTACTCGCTTAAATATGCTGACTGAGGCTAAATTTTCAAAAATGGACAATATATTACTTACTCCATGGGCTTTAGAAAAATTACCTGAATGTAACTGTTTCCAGCCGGGTCATCCAGTGTGATCAGAACATTCATTTCCTCGCCATTAATTACCTGCGCAATAAATTGAGTAGAGCGGGCTTAAAATAGACACAAAGAAAGAGTCAGGAAAGAGTTGATGCACGCACGCATTGATGAAGTCTCCATAAAAGACTTGGGCAGGAAAGAAGAAACGAACGAGAAGATGGTGACGTTAGTAAAGGCAAAAGCAAAAGGGGAGGAAGGAGAGAAGAGGACTGGAGACTAGAAAGGAGAGGGAAATGAACGAAAAGAGCGAGGAACCAGTAAGAAAACAAAATCAGTAAAGCGGGAAAGGTGGATAACCTTCAGCTCCCGGAAGTGATTAACACGTAACTTCTCCTTCTAATATCCATACCTAATCCAGCAAATAGGTAATGAGAATATTCAAACTTATCAAGTGGAAGTTGCTATCTTGATCTAACACTAAATTCTCGTAACAAATTTACAAGGAAATGTATAGCAGCTAGAGGGGAGAATTAATGATCAGATCTTGGAAGTTGAAGAGTTAAGGGATAAGATAACAACAAGAAAGGGAAAAGGAAGAGGAGATAGGAGAGGGGGGGGGTGTGTGTGTGGGGAATAACAGTTTTTACCTTGTCCAAGTTGGTGATAAATGTTTTCATCTTTGCACTGAATTCAGCCGGGCTGTCTCCAAAGCCAAAAGGATTCAGGGACTTTAGCTGTTACAAGAGGAAAACAAATGGAACGATCAGTTCTGACTGGTAGAAAACGATGCGTGGAGACCGGCTTAACCGCTGATTAATTAATTTACACACGCAATACTTCAGCATTTAGTCCAGTTGTGTTCACCCGTACCCCGATCTCACGCGCGATACAAAATATATTTTATGTAAGATGAGTATCACATACCTGATCCTTGATATTACACAAAAGGCCCTCTAATGTCGTGAATCGTCCACCCAGTGTGCCGGCTGCGATGTGGAAATCCAATGATGGCATGTATACTTCACACGTTTCTGACTGCAATAAAGATAGACGTAAGATCACGGTGGAATCCGTTAAAACAGCCATCCTACGGCAGACAAAAGACGAGAGCATTTCGGAAAATTTTGTCATATTCTTCCTTGAAAATCACCACGAAAAACTTAAAACCTCAGCTTCCCGTTCATGCGATTTCAGAATTAGATTTTAGCATCCAATAATGCAAACAAAAGTTGAAGCTGTACCTTCAACACATCTCTGTTAAGATCCAAAGGATCTGTTATCCTGAGAGTGAGTCTCGTCCCATGAGGTTCCATACCAGCTAAAACAAATATTGATCAGAAAGTTAAATTGACTGGGAACTGAGGACCAATTCATATTACGCTGTCAACAACGCTAGTTCAGAGAGCACGCCTCGCTGCTCGTCCCCAGTCCTTTCCCCACTTTTGACTATGAATGGGGGAGGCACACGAGAGGTGTGCGTGTGGGCGGAGTAGATGTTATTGTCTTCTTCGTCGTGGCAGTGCTAGTATCCGAGCCCCGCAGGCGCGCATTAAGCGTAACAGAAGACTAGACGGGTCAGGCGAACCACAAACCGAAAAGCATATAAAAAACGCAACTGCAACAACAGAAACGAACCAAGAACCAGTTACTTACCGCCAGACTTGACTTCATTTGACCTATGCCCGCAAGCATCGCAATTGGTCGCCATAATCACCACTTCTTTAAAATGCGGTATAGCTGATATACTGGTTAAGGTGAATCCGGTTTAATAAGTGATGGACAGTGAATAGAATTTCATGAACGGTGAAAGTTGATGACTGTACGTATATATTACATAGGTACAACGGAAAAATCAAAGACAAAATGACAAAGAGACAGACGTAAGTACCAGCGCACGTACGTACGGACGGACAGACAAAAAAACACAGGGGCGTACGGACGCAGAGGGATACCCGTGGAGAGACCAACGAACGGAGAGACAAACGAGGGGACAGAATGACACACACACAGTCACACATTAATCGAGCAGTTGAGGTATGTAAACGAACTACCTTGATTTGAAAGTACTAACAATAGCATTAAACTGAAAACAAATAAAACGGCAGTAAGAAAAGAGGATACCAACAAGCTTCATTCTGGTTTCTGTAGGTGCATTACACGAAGGACAATTTGTTGGGAAATTTAACACCTGCAAAAAAGCAACGAAAGAGGAGAGAGAAAGTTAACCCGGAAGCTAACGGACCTGGCCTTCGTTGGAGCTTATTCCGGTAGAAATCAACATCATTGTTCGACCTACTGGGTACTTAAGCATACTGGGGCAACAGAACATGTAATATATGTCACGGTATTACATTGTAAAACAGGGCACAAGGAACCGAAACAATTCTTACCTCGTCATTTACATTTGTTTGCCCTTCCTCTGTGTGTGGGAACGTGGAAAAGAACAGAGTCAAACTTTGCATACTAACAAATGATATCAAGGTGAATACTAACAAATGATATCAAGCTGTAAGAGAGAAACTGTTACATGATCATGTTCAGTTTTCAAGCTTTAATTTAAGATTGTCAAAACAACAAATCTGAAATGAGTTAGACTCGTGCTCTGGAGGGGAGGAGAGCGACAAATGGGGCACATTTAGCTCTACGATACACGGTTGCTGGACACGCCTTTTTCCGCCCGCGAGAAGATTTGAGACGAGAAAGGAAGAGGCTGGTCGGAAGTCTGACACTAATAATCAGTGTTAGACTGCTTACAGACCTTTCGCCAGCTCGCATCGCTCATACTTTCCCAAGGGCAAAAAAACGCTGCTACCAAAGGTTGTGTTGGTTGTGTTGTCGCAAGTTGATAATCAGCAATTTTAGGGGTGGGAGGGTGGGGGAAATTCTCAAGGGACACACTCGCGACGCTCTTGCATTTATTTATGTTTCCTGCTCTGAGAACCTAACCTATTTCAATGACATGCTTAGGAATTATTTTTATGGGGGTAAGGCTACTCAATTTTACTATGCATTTCTTATGAGGCGGGAGAAGCTAAGCAAATGGAGAAGCGGTTTCTGACAGGTCTTACATAACACTAGTACAAAATAACCAACAGTCCAAATAAACAGAGGATTTTTGCACGGGATTCGCGCGTTATCTGTGCACTTCTACGTACAGTTGGATATCAATCTCCTGTGACTTTTCTACTGATATTTCTCAATGAAAACCTTGTTATCTGACCTTCTTCCTCCTCTTCCTGTTTCTCCTCTGTTTGACTGGCTGGCTGAAGTCCTAGTTGGGCGTTCTGTCCTGCGTTTCTGCGATAATACACCATGGTCATCTGTGGATCTTCTTTAGGGGCATGTGGATTTTCGATGAAACTGTTGCCAGATGAATCATCCAGGTGAAGGGTGAACTTCCTGTCTCCATCGCGGCATTTTGTCAACTGCGCCACAAAATCATCAATTTTCACTGCATTGTCAGGATCCATGATCTGTTGACAATTCAAATGGAAATACAAAAATCAATCGGTGACTTGACGTACAGTAACAACTTATAATTATTGTATTGTACAACAGAACCCCACTGACTCGAACGCTGTTACCTCGAAACCCTGGTAGCTCGAAAGAGGTCCGATCTCTCCGGGAGATCAGCCAACTCAAACCCCTGCTAAAGCAAACCTCTTTTTTGGTTTCCCCTGGGAATTCAAGTTAGCGGGGTGCTATTGTGTTTAGGAAAAAAAATTGGATCTACACCTACAAGGCAATGTTTCAGAGTGTTGTTTGATGCAGAGCAATAGATTTGCTTTCTGTGCTTCGACTCAACTACTGGTAGGTAGACCATGCTTCAAACAATCTTTGTAGGAGTGATAATGAAAATGATAATGATAATAACAATAATAATAATAATAATAATAATAATAATAATAATAACAATAACAACGATAATAATAGTAGTAGTAATAATAATAACAACAACAATAATAATAATAATAATAATAATAACAATAACAACAATAATAATATTAGAGAAACATTTTCGTGGATTATAGTTCAAGAGATATTGAGACATTGATTTTTTCTTTTCTTTCTAACAGATGTTGAGGTACAAATTTAATTCTTTTTAACTGAAGCACTGTACATAGGTCTTTTTTATGAGTATTGAATAAAGATTTTTCTTCAAATAATAATAGTAGTAATAATAATAACAACAAAAATAATAATAATAATTATAATAATAACAATAATAATAATAATAATAATAATATTAATTGACCACTCCCCCAATGGGGCTTTTAAAGGCCAATACAAACAGACTGTACATAAACATGGTGAATAAACATAGAGTTTGAAAATTCCCAACTAACAGGAGGCAGACAAGTTTGCTGTGATGAGACTGCTGCCAAGGTGTCCATTGCAGGGCAATCAAAAACAAATCCAGCTAGTAACAGGATGGAGGACTTGAACATGGGACCAACAGTGCCTTAACTACTTGGCCATACTCTGATTCACATGATTTGGATCATGTTAAGCTCAGTTTACTTTGCATCAAACTAGTCCAGGTAAAGCCCACGATTACATGTATAGAATTATCAATGATTTTATCAATAATTTACCCTTCTAACTGGCTGATCTTGCTCCAAAGCAGTGATAAGCACGTCCTAAAAGTCCTTCGATGGTGGTGAGTTCTATGTGAAAAAAGAAAATTCAGTTTACAAGCAGACTTAGAGATTACAAAACAAAAGGGCAAGTCTGTACACTGCTTTCTGTCGATAGCAACCTAATAAAAGCATTTAACATGTTTTGATAAGATCAGTAATCACAGCAAAACTCATCTACAAAAATATGTAAAAATTAAATGTAACTTGTATCAAAGCTCACATGAGAGAAAAAAAAAAACAGCCCCCCTCAGGTGGTAGAATGATTCTACTTCACTCTGTACCTCTTAAATACACATATTGCCTAAACAATTTCCAGCAAGTCACTGATTACACAGTTATGGAAAAAAAAATTAACAAAGGTGATGATATCATTGCTACCTCCTTTCTGGGAAAAAGCAGGACTCTCAAACTCCAACTCTGGAATGGTAAATGATGCAGAATCTGACTTGACTACCTGTCTGTTCAAATCCTGTTGAAACAGAAATTAAAAAATAAACACATTACTACTCAGTCAACTCACTATCTCAAGATCTAATGTACAATACTGATAACTTATCATCACCTTTTACTGCAATACTAACAATACCCACATTTTGGGCAATGCTACATCTGCTATTCCATTAAAAGTATGTTCTTTAGGTGTACAATTAACTTTTAAAATATATTTTAGGTGTGTGCTGCCTGGTTGTGTTGTGGAAAAAAAATTGACAACCGCAAAGAGTGAGTGTCCACGAAAAAGTTTAAAGAGGTTCTAGAACCAGTTCCAAATTCTCAAAACCAGTTTTTCCTTTGTCTCAGATTACGGTTAACCCTTTAACCCCTGAGAATGATAAGCATCTAATTTCTCCCAAAAGTACCACCCTTGGATCATATATTATGGTTGTAAGAATAAAGGAAATGATCAGAAACTTAACAAACTTTTGGTTATTAGACAAATTCCCCTTCTAGGTATCATCAAAAATGTATAGAGACCAGTACGGAGAACTTGTAGACTGATGTTAGGGTGTAAATTGTGAATTGTCACAGATCTGAGAAAAATCGAACTGAAGATCAAACTGATTTGCAAATTCTTCAACTAGTGAAAAATTTAACATAGTTTATAAGCTTAACCCTTTAACTCCCAAGATCTCATTAGTAATTCTCCTCACTGTCTGCCATATGGTTCTTGTGGTGTTAGTTTGGAGAATTTGGTATTGGATCAACTAATAATCCTCTTTTTAACACTTTCCTTTATTCCCATCACTTGTCTGCTTGATATTGTATTGATATTGTAAGGAGAAATTCTGTCTTGGTCGCTTGTGGGAGTTAAAGGGTTAACCCTTGAGAGAGACTAACATCTAATTTCTCCTTAGAAAATCACCCCTGAATGAAACATTAAGGTCATGAGAATAAAAGTAATGATCACCAACTAAAGAAGCTCTTGATTTTCCAACAAATTCTCCTTGTCATCACCCTTGGAAATGTATAGAGAACAGTATGGAGAATATGCATACTGATGTTAGGGTGTAAATGGTTAAGTCTGTACCTAGTCAATGGTTACAAGAAAATAAGTGGGTTCAAGAAAGTACAGGTAAGGTCAAATTTATGGCCAGTGGAGACAACCAAAGAGGTGGGCAAGCACAAAATAACAAGGGTCTGTTTGCTTATGATGAGGACTGGAAATGAAAGACTGAAGATTTAAGAACTACAAACAAAATTGAAAGGGTCTTCATTTTGTAGAAAGCCCTCCTCAAACTACAAAAGGAAGACCCTCACTGACTTGTTTTGTTCAACTATCAGAGAAACAAAGTCGGATCAATATCAGTATCTGGGCAACCGCCCACCCCCCCCTAACTCAACAACAGTCAACTGACAACAAGTTAAGGTTAATGTTGGGTTAGAGGAGGGGAAGGTGGGCAGTTGCCCAGATACTGATATTGATCCACAAAGTCTTCATTTTCACAACATAAGTTTGATTTTTCGGTCTCTGGTCCTTGGTATGTGTTTAAAAGACATTCCAAAGGTCAGGTAAAAAAAAAAAAAAAAAAAAAATGAGGATAACTTTGCTTTTTCACCCACCCAATCATCCACTTGTCACTGCTGGTTGAGACCTTGGAGCTGACTACATTGACTATGTAGAACTTAATCTATTCACAACCCTTTAACTCCCAGATCAAATTTGTCATTCTCCTTACTATCCACCATACAATTCTTATAATGTTAGTTCAGAGAATTTAGTATTGGATCAACTAGTAATCCCAAAATTGATATTTTTCTATATTCTCATCACTTATCTGGTTGATATTGAATTGATATTGTAAGGAGAAATTATGTCTTGGTCACTCATGGGAGTTTAAAGGGTTAATTTGACAGATCACCTTTGGAGAGGACACCAACAGCTTAATGTTGCATCCCATATCTTGAATTCTTCCTGCAGACTGGATTTCATTATTGGCATAACTGCAGTGAGGACATTCAAATGACATCAGAACAACTTCTCTAAAGAATGGTATTCTTGTGAGAAGTATTCGAGTTGTTCCCTAATGAAGATAGATTATTTTGCATCAGGACAATTGTAATTAAGAGATGGAGAAATGCTGATGAAAAGGGAGTGGATTGGTTCACTCAATTCCAGTTATCAGCTCATATTCTGAGTAACCTCAGGTAGAAATGCATTAGGCTAACTGTTGTAGAGCTGAAAACAAGGCTCCATATATCCAAATGTTCAGGATTGGTTATGGCCAGCTTGGGGCGAAGTGCCTTGTTGGCTATTTATTTACCAGCTCATATCCAATGTGCAGTGGAATAACTGTTGAATACATACATGTAATTGCTATCATCTCAAACTAGGCATATCTTTCACCACCCTTTTCCCTCTCCACCCACCCCTTCCCCCCACCCTGTCCCCATTATATTAAAATTTAGTCACTGCAGTCGGCTTGTAAGAGTTTATCAACTCCATTTTAAACACAGATGTTTGAACTCCAAACTTTCACACATCATTTCAGTCCAAGACTGCATGTATCATTTGGAGATGATTTCCCCCCTTTTTTTTCACAATAAAGCGACAGTACTTCCAATTCTTAATGAGAAAACTAAAATGAAACTTAGATTACAAGCAAGATAGCTGCAAATCAAGAACATCACGTTTCACAAGCTAATATTAGGAAACACTTTTTCAGTTACGTTTTCGAATCCTAGCAGTGATCCTAGCAGTGATCTTTGTTAAATCCCATATATCTCGCATTTTTAAAGGCAGAATTTTTACTAAGATCTAGCTTGTTAATCAATAAAGAGTGTATACCTTAAAACAGAGCTGTACTGTACAAAATTTGATCAAAACTACGTGAAGGAGACAAACCAATTGTATACTAATCATGCAGCGATAAATAAAATTTTAATGCTTTTGAAAGAAAACCATTTTAAGTTTTAACTGGTGAGTAAAATATATATTAACCCTATTTTTATTTAATTTTATCTATTTTATTTTAGTAAAAATTTTTAGACTCACGTTTTCATGGCAATTCATGCACAAACTTTCCACTGCATTGGTTTGTGGTTCATCATCTGCATCGATGTCTTTAAAAAGCAGTTCATTCGTTTTTTCTTCCATAATTTCAAACAAACATCTGTAAAATTTAAAGTACGACCCTCAAATTTTCTAAAAAATTTCAACAACACTTGCAATAATTTCTGAAAGGTCGAGTACACGTTTTCTCGGCGATGATGTAGCTATAGTGCCAATACTGCAGGCTCACTAAAACTAGACCTAGTCTCTCCCGTTCCAATCCGGTCGCTAATATATCGAAGAGCCAATCAGAGCGTTACATCAGCATTTGCACATGGTTCACACGATCAAAGATGGGGAATGTACTCGCGGCTTCACCGTCAAAACCCTCATCTCCCAGCAATGTTGCATCGATGCCGCCGCCGCCACCGCTTACGGCAGCTCCCCTGTTGAACCAAAGCCGCAGCCGGATGAAAAACCATCCAATAGCAACCCTGGAACGTATGAAGATCTACACAAGTCGTGTAAAGGTAGGGTAAAGATCGTCAGGCTTCGTAAAATTTCACCGGCTTCATGGCGCATTTGGATTGTTTGATTATGTAATTTATCGTAAATCTAGACTAGGCAATCTTAAAGCTTATTTATTCGTTTTTACAGCCGTTTGTTTCCCGCGATTTCTGTAGATTTTTCTGGGAGTTTGTGCAAGTTTGCTCTTAATATTCCTTACTACGTGGAAATTAGTAGTCAGAATGGATTTACAATCCCAGCGATCTTTACTGAATTCCGTTTCACTAAAATCGAACATACTTCGCCAATGAGATATTTTGAAAAAATTGCTGTTTTACTCGCTCTAAACATTTAATGTTGAAGGGCATGAAGAATTTTCAGGTACACAAAAGTACATGGATTAAAAATTCCTACATAGTTTCGACAATGTCCTCACCCCACCCCCTTCCGTTCTTACCCCACCAGGAAGAGTAAGTAGAGTTCTTACTGAAACTGACCACACGAATATGTTTACAACACCACTTGATTGGCCAGTTTCAGTGGTCTCTGATTTACATTACATTCTGTGGTACCTAACGAAAAATATTACTACGGATATCAAGCTAAATGGTCAAATATACTGGATCCTCTGCCTCACCTTCTATCATCTGCCACATGAAAGATTAACCCTTTAACTCCCATGAATGACAAAGACATAATTTCTCCTAACCATATTAATTCAAAATCAAGCAGACAAGTGGTGAGAGTAGAGAAAAATATCACCTAGGGGATTTTTAGATGATCCAATACTAACGTCTCCAAAACTAGCATTATAAGAATTGTATGGTAGATTGTGAGGAGAATTTCTTATGAGATCTTGCAAATGGAAAGGTTAGATGTGATTTTTCATCAAAGAAGAAATTAGAGGGAGACACTCCCTCTACAAAATTCTTAGAAGGCTTGGTGACCAAACTTAACCCTCCACTACGAAAATCTTCCTCTTGCATAACCCTTAACTCTCGAAATCTAGATTGAATTTCTCCTCCCTGTATACAGTATATTTCTTATAGTTTTAGTTCTGAGAATTTTGCGATTAATCAGAATAATTTCCTTGTAGACATTTTCTTCCCCCTCACTGCATTTCATCCTGAAATTTTTCTTCATTTTGTTAGGAGCAATTATATTTTTGGTCCCTGCATTTCATAGTTTGAAATTACAGACTCATTTGAGTAACTTTGTTTTGAAAATACAACTGTACTAATGTGGTGTTGGCTTTCTTGATATCTGAACTTTCATTGTGATTTTCAGTGTGATCACAGATTCTGAGTTTCTCAGGTTCTGTTATGTAACTCAACAATGTCAATGATAAATCCATTGTAATTTTCAAAGTATTCACAGTATTCTTAGTTTCCCAGTTCATATTTTTTAACTCAACATTGTCAATGATAAATCTTTTATTGTGCTAATTTATGTTCTTTCTAATTTGAATTTTTCAGACGTCTTCCCTCAGCCATTTGAGGGCTGTAAACTTGCTATCAATAAAGGCCTAAGCAACCACTTTCAAGTCAGCCACACCCTTCAGCTCAGTAGTATGGGGCCAGGAGCATATCATTTTGGAGCCACCTATGTAGGAAATAAGCAGACAGGGCCTAATGAGGTGATGATGATGATGATGAAGGGCTAATAGAGAAACTTTCAATTGAGTGTTGAAAATAATCAGGGACTGTTTTTTTTTACTTTACTTTGCTCTGTGTTTGTTCCAGAAAACTTGCATCATCCTCTCAACTAATCAGATGCAAAACTAAAAACAACTGCAACCTGATCATTTGTATTTTCCCATGCTTTAATCCTTTAACCCCTAAGAGTGACTAGCATCTAATTTCTCCTGACAATATCACCACTGAATTACACATTATTGTCATGAGAATAAAGGAAATGATCACCAACTAAAGAAGCTTTTGATTGTTAGACAAATTCTCCTTGTCAGCACCTTAGTCAATGTACAGAGAACAGTATGGAGATTATGAATACTGATGTTCGGGTGTAAAGTGTCAAGCAGATTTTTTGTTATCACTTTGGGTTTTCATTGGCTAATGTTTAAGGTAACCATTGTTCTGACTGTTTGCAGGGATGACTTTAGTTTCAGCTTTTTTCAACACTCTATTGGAAACTGCTCTGAAAAATGATTTTGACAATGTGGATTAATTCCTCTGACCCTCTTTTTTTTATGAGTTTAGTCTGAAACCTCTGTATCTCCTTTGTTGGATAGCATTGATATTGTAAAGTGCTTTCTCGGGAGTTGAGGTGGCCTGGTAATGAACATGCTGGTCTCAATGGGGGGAGGTTTGGATTTAAGCCCTGGCCAGGTCATAGAGTGGTTTTCCCAGGAAAGTCACTTTACTATAACAGTGGCTTTCTCTCCAACCAGGGGTATAAAATGGTACCGGTTAATTTTCAGGGAAGCCCTATGAAATGCTGGGGGAGGCTACCTGTGATTGGACCAGTCTCCCATTGCTTAACTTATAATTCTATGGTTAAGGAGTTGAAATCCATACTTGAGTCAAGCTACCCATCTAGCTGGAGCTCATCCCTGTTTTCATAGCATGAAGCAACTAGGAGTATTGCTACTCCCTCCTCCCCAGAATAGGATGCCCACGTGTTGCAAGGTTACCCCCAAGCATTTCAAAAGGCTTCCTTAACAATTTGTCAGTACCCATTAATACTCCCTGGTAGAAAGAGGCACAGTGAGAATAAAGTGTTTTTGTTCAAGAACAAAACACATTAATCTGACCAGGTTCAAACCTGGACCTTTCAAAATGCAGTCCAATGCACCATGTATTAGGTCATAGCATCGCACATCAAATCTCTTTGGTTTTGACTGTTAACAAATATCTCATACTTTCATGTTCTGTTCGTAATTTTTAGGCATTTCCTGTGTTGCTTGGAGACATTGACACAAATGGCAGCCTTAATGCTCAAATGATTCATCAGTTTACCAACAGACTAAGAGGGAAAATGGTGATACAGGTAATCCTTTTGAGCTTTTTTTTTATGTTAAAAAGCCGTAACGCAATTGAACTAATCCTTAGAATTACAGTTGCCATTAAATTCCACACCTTTCAAGGTCTCAACAGAATTCCAAAAACCTTCATAAAATATTGGTCAAGTTTAAAAAAATGATACTTGTTGATTTATTTTTTGACTACAAGTTGTATGAATTCTTGATGTAAAGTGCTTATTCCATATCCCATTGTTTCAACCCATTACTCCTTAAAAAATCAAAGTTTTAGTTTAAAACAGACACATAAACAAGCAAAAAAGAGAATATTTTTGTGGCAGACATTAATTCCATTGAGGGATTAGTCCTGGAATTTAGATTATAAATTTGGGTCTCAGCTCCTGCCAAGATTATTTGTGTGGTGTTTTGAAGCATAGCACCTGATTCACAAAGGTCCTCTACCTAGCCATGAGGGTACTTGTGAACTGGCAGGAAAAGCTAGGAAAGATTGTGGGGGTGGGGGGTGGGGCTGGGCTAGGCTGGGCTGGCATCTTTTTCTCTTGCTCTCACTTCTTGTTGTCTGTCTGGTTTCCATCCGTCCTATTTGGGTAGATACAAAAAAAAAAAAAAACCAGACAAAAACAAAGGTTAAAATTAATTTCAGATCAAGACAGTTAACTGTTTTGTTTGTATTAAAGTAGCCGTGCATAAGAAATAGTAGCTGGTGAAAAAGGCAGCTATTGGTGCTTCTAGAGACAGGGATTTCAATTACTTTTCTCATAAGTGGCTTTCTATGATGTAATAGCAACTGTGCCTGGGAAAGGGGCTGTAAGGCAAAACCCAAACAGAGGAGCCTGCTGTAGGCTAAATAGACTGCAGTAAGAGGTCTTAGACAGTGTAGGCGAAGGTAGACAGCTGGTAACCAACTTTCAATAAAACCCAGGTAGAGAAAAGCTCATGTACTGACCTAATCATCTGCTACATGTATGCAGAAGAAAATGGATATTAGCAAGAATTTGTTTAGTAGGAGTATCACTCAGGGTGTGAACAGTAACAGGTGAACAGTGATTGAATCAAAGGGACTTTTTTTTTTGCAGACTCAAAAATCAGTTTGGGTTCTTGTCCAAAGTGATGCTGAATACCGTGGAGATGACTTCACCGCAAGTCTGACGGCTGGTAATGTAGATATACTCAATAGTTCTGGCATCCTTGTGGCTCATTATCTTCAACGGATGGCTCCACGTGTCGATGTAGGAGGGGAACTTCTCTACCACTATGGCTCTGGGCAGGAAGTGGCCATGATGTCCTGCGCGGGTCGATACACAGCAGATGATTGGATCGCCTCAGCGACAGTTGGTCAAACAGGATGGCATTTAAGTTACTGGCACAAGGGCAATGAGAATGTAAAGGTTGGCGTAGAGTACGAGTATAACACAAGGGCCCGCGATAGTTCGGTCAGCGCAGGGTATCTAATTGATGTACCCAAAGCTAATTTTACATTTCGCGGAATGCTGGATACAAATTGGACAGTGGCGGCTGTTATGGAAAAGAGACTTCCTCCATTGCCATTCACGTTTTTGTTGAGTGGTATGGTAAATCATACCAAGAATCAAGCGCGATTTGGGTTTGGTCTAAATATAGGTTGACTGTTGGGTTCAATGTCAGTATCTGAGTAGCTCTGTACCTACCCCTCCCTCAGCCTTACAACACTCAACTGATACCAAGTTAGGGTTAATGTTGGACAAGGGGAGGGGTAGGTGAGTTGTTGCTTGGATATCGACATTGATACAAATATTGTTGCTAAGAGCAATGAGATTTTTTGTTATTACTTTTAACGGCTTTGTGTGGATCAATCAGATTGTGGAAGCAAACTCTCTCCAGATTTGGCTTTTTCAGTGCCTACAGCACTGTCACCTTGAGGACCAGTGGGCAGGGTGTTTTTATTTTATTGGGGACTGGAGTAGGAACTGTTTATAAATGGAATGGCGCATGTATAAATGAAAGATCCGATATACGTGTGGGGAAAGACTGAAATTCATGGTTGCAAAGGACAGATCTGAATGAATTGCTTTCTGATAATCTCTGAATTTCCTTCCTTCGGTGGAAGAGTACAGCTTGATTAGAAGCTTAATAAACAGCTCTCATGTGGTCTTTCTATATTTGAATGAGGTGTCACTTTTACTGATTTCCATCGGCTCCTTTGTCCTTTATGACTGTCTGTAGACCTGTGTAGGTAAACTCTGTGAACAAACCCACGGATACCACACGCTTCCTATGTGTTCTACTCGAAACACACGCATGTAACATGCTGTCCTGATAGTTTCCGCTTAAGACTGCCAACAAATGAATGTGCTTAATGTTTTTCTAACATAACGCGCAAAGCGCGTGGGCCATAAATCGAGCGGAAGAAACGAGGTTCCGTAACTTACAGTACGGACCGAGAAAAACGAGGTTAGTAAGATGTTTATTGTATGTCTTGGTTCAGATAGAAGGGGGAAAGACTTCAATTCAAGCTGAGCGGCCATCGATGATTGACGCGCGTCAAATCCTAAGTACGAGAGTATTTTACTGACTTCCACTAAAAACTGAACTTGGAGTCGTCAAAAGTTCAAAATATTCGTTTAATATTCATGGTTCTCAATAGTGCAAACTTACATGCAAAGAACGTTAAAGTATACAAAGCCTGCAAGAACTGTGATAAAACGTTGTTCAAGTAACTCGTTTGTCGAGTTTTTTTTTTCTAATGCCTGAAATCTGCAACGCATAACGTGTTTCTTCGTAGTAATCATAAGGATAAAAAACTTCTGATGCGTTCAAAATATATTAAAACTTACAAGAAAATATTTTAAATACTTTGGTATGATTTCGAGTTCATTGATTTGTCCATCACTAATTTTGATGCGAAGTTAGGAGCTTGAAAAATGAGAAGAGGAAAACGGGCAGCCTCTTCAATTTCAATTAAATACAACGTGACACTGCACGGCAAAGTTACAATGACTAATTCAGGAAGATATTATAGAAATAGGAAGTTCCTTTCCTTCTCCCAGTCTCTGATGTTATAAATATAAACCCTTACTTACAACAAGGTGAATTTTTACAAAACTTTAGAGCTTGTTTTGGATATTTACAGGTATACAATTAATTTTCTTGGCTCTGTCTTAAGTTTATGGGCACGAATGAAGCAAATTTTTAGCTATCACAACAAGCAAAACTTGTAAGAGCAGTTTTCTGTACATTTTACACTTCAGCTTTTTGTGTGTTTTTTTCTAGTTATCGCTCTCGTTTACTTTTGAAAAACTGTCTAACATTTACAGGAATCGTTACTTCGTGCGAATTATTTCCTCGGCTTGAGCGTCCACAAGTTGCACTACGCCAGAACAAGACTACACTCCCTACGGTCGCAAGTACCAGGAGTGGTAACAACGCAAAAGTGATCACTTTGTAAGCATCGTCTTCTCGACTTTCATGTTTATCTGTGACACAAAAATTCAATTAATTCACATCGATTCATCTTTAGAGCGATAAAGGACAGGAAACTGACTTGGTTTCAAATTTTCAAGAAGTTTATTGTTTTCTTAACCACAAAACGTCTTTACGATAGCCTGGAATGAGGGAATAAACTTGGTTTACATATTTCTTTTTCAGCTCTTTGGGAGGAAGCAGCAAACCAAAATTAAAACCAAAATTAGGCCTTAAAGAGCGCTTAACGAATTACGACCAAGAAAACGAAAACAAAAGATACAAACTCAAAAGCAGAAACCAGAAGAAACAAAACAAAGTGAACTGAAATCGAAAGAAATTGAAAAACAACAACAACAACAACGAAAATAAACAAAACTTTGAAATTCAGACGCACCCACAATAATTCTGCGAGTAGTACTTGTTGGAGTTGACACTATTGAACTTGGGAAATCTATAAAGAAAATGAACACGCACATGAAGAGAGAGATCAAATGAAGGATGTTAACTTGATTTGTAACGCGGCATTCAATGACTGTGCTTTGCATTTTGCAGTACTCATATATCATGAAAACACCGCACGCTAACCATATGTCAGTGTATAATAATCTTGTAGATTGGATTGCAACAAGAAACTTACGAGAGCTGAATAAATGCGATGAGCTGTACATGTTATATCATGAATCCAAATGATAAACACCACTTTTATCACGAGTAAAACAAAAAAGCAAGATTTATTTTAGTGTTTTGAGTTTTTGTTTATTCTTCTGTTTTTTTTTCGTCTTGTCAATTCTTGAGGTGGCTTTTCGGTTTTTGATAACCAGTTATTTAACCAAATTAATTTAATGAAGTAAAGTGTTGGAAAATCAACTCGCTTGCTAGAATTAAAAAGTTGTCTAATGCCATTTCAATTATGACATACACCTTTTATCTAAAAGACTCTTCGTCTCAGAATTACAGAATTTTAAAAAAACTCACCGATGACAGTTACTTGCACCTCATAGCTATCACTTCCTAGTGGATTTTTAGCTGTGCAAATGTAGACTCCTTCGTCATCTTTGGTGATGTTTCTTCGCTCTAAACTTGTAGCTTCATCGTTCGTTCGATTCTGAAGCATTTGCATGCCAGGAAGTCGAAACCAGATCACCCGGGGAGAAGGAAAACCAATTGCTTCGCAGTCTAGGTGCAGATTCATTCCTTCGACCACCAAGAATGGTTGTGGACTTGTTATCCTAATTTTGGGCCTCTCTGACAAATATAAAACAAAGTTTTGGAAGCCTTAATCAATATGAAAAAAAAAAAAAAAATTTTTTTATCAACCTGCGTTCTACTTATTTGTCTTCTACGTGCAATTGCGAATGAAAAAAGGAAGACAGGGATTTAGAAGTCGAAGAGTAATTTTTCATGATAAGAACTTTATGTTTATGATCAAATCCCATCCCCTAAACAAACTCGTACCTCTCGCTATTTGAATAAGAGTGGTGTTTTCTCGCACTCCCTGGTACCGAATTTGTCCAATGCACCAGACCACCATTCCGTCATACTTTGATGATATCTTCCGTACAATCAATGTTCCATTTATGGTAAGTTTGTACTCCTCAGGGTAATAATTAAAGACGGTTCTTTTTTCTATCCGAGCGATTATGAATCTGTCCCTATCACTTCTGCATTGTGCCATCGTCGGGCACAAATACAAACCAAGGTCCGACTGGGGCTGACCTTCCGTGTTTATTGAGCAAGGTATGTGTACGTCCCTTGCATCGTTTTTAACAACAATCTGGTTCTCTGCATCATTGATATCAGATCCTGTCGAGGGAGTGTAGAGATAACAAAGGAAGTTAGCAACTAAAATTTCACCGAGCACTCTTGCGATTTCAATGGGAGAGGTCATAATTTTTCCTCGGGGGGAGGGGGGGGGAGATTTTGGTAGTGTCAAAATAAAACTTACCTGATCCCCCGTAGGTCAATTTGCTACAGTAAACCTATAAACTCTGTTAGAGACGACTGATCCCCCACTATCTTCCCCATGAACACCATGTGATTCTCCTCAAAACATTCCCTTCCCCCAATGACAGGTTTCTAGAAACTGATAGAGGGCCAATTCTCTGTGGCTGGGAATCGTCTGTAGAATTTGTGTTATTTGATTAGCAAGCGATTGTTATATTTACTTTTAATGGCAATGAGGGGAAACCCCTTTCACTTAATCAGATCATCAGAAATCAATGTGAATTACCAGAATTTGTATTTCACAGATGATCAAGAAAATCAAGAACAGGATGCTTACAAAGTGAGAGAGCTCGCGGGGTACTTAGGGAACAAATTAAGCCTGTCTATGAACCTGTATTAATCGGCAGCATATTAGCAAGTGAATGCTATATTTGCTTTTAATATATAGTAATGAGGGGAAACCCCTTTCACGGGATCAGTTCGTCACTCTTTGCCTTTGTTCGAGTATAATTTGAGAGTGCCATAAGTCTATTATTTTTTTGACTCTTAGCCTTCGGAACCCAATTTATCAGAAACGAAGCCCAGCTATGTGGATTGGAAATAGATATATTTGCATTAGCATTTCATTAACGCCAAAATCAGACAGCGTAACCAAGTTGACAAGGTGCAATTATATTCCACAAGACAGTACAAATTATCTTGTATTTGAACAATGCCATCCACTCGAATAAAGAAAGAATCTTTTAATACCCTTTGTGTCAAATTAAATTTGTTGATTTCGAAATAAGAGGCTTCAAAGCATTTCTATAGTGAAATGCCAAAATAATGGGAGATGGAAATAGCTGGTTGGCGTGAAGAAACACGAAGGATACAAAATGCAGATCTTAGTATTACTGAGGGCCATTTTAGTGATTTCCCAAGTATATTAATGAACGTAGTTATTCAGAAATTGGTTCTCTTGAGTCCATGCAGAACTTTAGCTCTCTGAAATGTATCGGTTCTTCTGAAACAATTTCGAGGAATGTAAATCCCGTTGTTTATGCAATTTACTTCCGCAAAATCAGTTACTATTTGTTTGACTTGAAAATTCCCATTGTATTACAAAGGTGTAACTAATAGCAATTTGCGTTACTGACCTTCAGAACCGTAAGTTTCTCCTAGATGAGTGACAAACAAAAAGATACACAGCGAAAACTTCAGGATATCCATGTCTATGTCTCAAAATATGCTACAGTTGAATGAAGATTATGGTTTGTTGTTATCACGAGATTTCTATCTCGTGTCCTTTATTATGACGGAAGGAAAAAAAACCCGCTTCCACTTTAACTTTCACTTTCACTTTTACATTAGAGACGTGACTGCTAGCAATATCAGCAAGGTCAAGATAAAACAAAGGGTTGAACCCAAGAGTACCTTCATTTCTACGTGGAATGACCACGTTGACCAGGTTGACCGTGTAATAGAGGAAAACGGGGGGAATCATAAAGAACGACGAGAAAAAAATTCAATTATATGCCATAATTTACCATAATTTAATTTAATTAATTTACCACTTAATGTCCCATAACTAGCAACTAGAAAAAAACTCAATATGTGCCATAATTTACCACTTAATGTCCCAAAACTAGCTGAAAATTTCTACTAACTTCGAGTTCGGGAGATAAACAAGGATTAAATTTTGCATCAAAGATTATTCTTAGAACTATTTCAGTGGTTCTGCTAGAAATGATCGTTCAATATATACAAGTGGAGGATAATACAAGCAGGCCGTTGTGACTCAGTAGAGGATGATCGATCACGTCTGCTTAATAGAGAGGAGCGCTGAATATAGGTCATGTGGGAATTTCGGTATTTTGAAAACCGCTCGCTAAAAGCAGAGCGACCACATGATGCAGTGCCGCTTAATACAGGCTTAATTTGTTCCCTACATACCCCCTGGGTCCTGGAAATCGATTTTTGTTCGATAACGAAGTGGCAGAGTACTCTTAATTTCACGCTCAGGCGTGATTTAGGAGGAGGACGGCGAAAAAGTCGGCAGTAAATTGATTGCTTTCATACGTGATAGGGTTTTAAAATAGCCAGAGGCAGCTGTGAACTGTGCGAGGAGAATGTTCGTTTAAAAAGACTTGACCTCGTCAATATAGTTTGCCTTTGTTTGCGTAACGAACCATTTCTCTAGTATTTCCGCTTCATTGTAATGTAAAAACTCCGATATTCAGAAGATTAAGTGTGTTAGATTTTTTAATAAAATGCCCACCTTCAAATTCGGGCTTAACTTCCTCCAGTAGGTTTATAGTTACTTCGCCAACAAAACTATCACGTTGTCGAAAAAAGTTGACTTTACGCTTTTTATTCTACCTTGTGCCATAGGTCAGTAACTTTGCCATCGCAAACCGATTTACCTATCACGCTGAAAATTATGTCAAAAGACGTCTTTATTTTTCTCTTGGTTAAGGTTTGGAAAATATCGTATCAAACCTGTTGAGTTGTCAGTTCCCAGTTTTTTTCTTGATGCAGGGTATCTGCTTGCTGGAACAAAATATGGGTTGAATTGTCCATTTTGAACAGGAGTGAAGCTAAGTTTGAGCTTGTTATGATACCAGCCTTGCTACTTTTCAAATGCAAATTACTTTGTTATCAAATACGGAACAAATGAGGGAAAACCCCTGTCACGAAATCAGTTCATCACAATCGTATTTATCTTCTGCAAAAAGCCCAGCCAAGTTGACAAGGTGCAATTATATTCCACAAGAGAGTACAAATTATCTTGTATTTGAACAATGCCATACACTCGAATAAATAAAGAATCTTTTAATACCCTTTGTGCCAGATGAAATTTGCTGATTTCGAAATAAAAGGCTTTAAAGCATTTCTATAGTGAAATGCCAAAATAATGGGAGATGGAAATAGCTGGTTGGCGTAAATACGAAGGATACAAAATGGAGATCTTAGTATTACTGAGGGTCATTTCAGTGATTTCCCAAGTATGTTGATGAACGTAGTTATTCAGAAATTGGTTCCCTTGAGTCCATGTAGAACTTAAGCTCTCTGAAATGTATCGGTTCTTCTGAAACAATTTCGAAGAATGCAAATCTCGTTGTTTATTTAGTAAACTTCCGGCACGACATGATTGTTTTATCACAAGGTTTGTTTGACTTGAAAATACACACTGGCATATATTTTTTTACAAACGGCTACACCTATTAAGTTTCACCCTCTTCATCCGACGTCAACCGCACACTCATGAGTTATTTATAAGAGTACAAAGGTGTAACTTATAGCAATCTGCCTTACTGACCTTCAGAGCCGTACGTTTCTTCTAGATAAGCGACAAACAATAGGATGTACAGCGAAATCTTCTGCATATCCATGTCTACGTCTCAAAATAAGTTACTGTCGAATGAAGATTATGGTTTGTTGGTCTCAAAATTTCATTTCCTTTATTATGACGCAACAAAAAAAACCCACTTTTACTTTCACTTTCACCTCTACTTTAGAGACGTGACATCCTACGTCTGTCAGCAATATCAGCAAGGTCAAGATAAAACAAAGGGTTGAACCCAAAAGAGTACTTTCATTTCCACGTGGAATGGCCCACTACAGGTTGACCGCGTAATAGAGGAGAAATGGGGAGATTTACAAACAACGACGAGAGAAAACTCATTTGTATGCCATAATTTACCACCTAATGTCCCAAAACTAGCTGAAAAATTCTACTAACTTCGAGTTCGGGAGATAAACAAGGATTAAATTTTGCATCAAAGATTATTCTCAGAACTATTTCAGTGTTTCTGCTTTGATTGATCGTTCGGTACAAGTAAAGGATAACACAAGCAGGCCGTTGGGACTCAGTAAAGGGTGATCGATCACGTCTGCTTAACAAAGATGAACGCTAAATCTAGGCCATGTGGGAATTCGCTATTTTGAAAACCGACCGCTAATAGGAGGGCAACCACATAATACGGTGCCGCTTAATACAGGCTTAATTTGTTCCCTAGATATCCTTCTAGCACCTGGGAATCGATTTTTGTTCAATAAAAAAGTAGCAGAGTACTCTAAATTTCACGCACAGGCGTGATTTAGGAGAAGGAGGGCGGTCGGCAGTAAATTGACTGCTGTCATACGTGATAGGGTTTTAAAATAGGCAGCTGTGAACTGTGCGAGGAAAATGTTCGTTTAAAAAGACTTGACCTCGTCGATATAGTTTGCATTTTTTTGTGTGTTTAATGAACCATTCCTTTAGTATTTCCGTTGCATTGTAATGTAAAAACTCCGATATTCAGAAGATTAAGAGTGTTAGGTTTTTTTTAATGAAATATCCACCTTTAAATTCGGGCTTTACTTCCTTCAGTAGTTTCATAGTTACTACATAGTTTGTGGGATATCTCATCAAACGTGTTAAGAGTTGTCAGTTCCCAGTTCCTTCTTGATGCAGGGTGTCTGCTTGCTAGATCAAGAATACGGGCTCAATTGTCTATTTTGAACTGCAGTGAGGCTAAGGTTGATCTTGGTATGATACAAACCTTGCTGCTTTTCAAATGCAAATTTGTTATCATGCTAACTAGATACTGATCTGGCACAATATTTCCAAGGTCGACGCCAAAAATGCTGGAATACGTTGCAGAGTCATTAACTAGTCAGTACGGATTAAGTCCATCTCACGTCTCCTTTCAAGATGCAGATACCTCAGAAAGTTTTGGTGGTTTACAACATAAGTACTAACTGTCAGTACTAGCCTTGTTTTTGATTGGAAAGTCATACCTCGATTGCGCTGGTATGACATTCCTAGAGGTAAAAGGATACAAGTGATCAATGTATTTGATCTTAAGTCTGAGTGCCGCTAATACTTTAAAACATTGAAATTAAGGTCTGAGTTCATCACAGAGGACGTCGACATGTGGTAAAAACATTAGTTATGCAATCGCCTGCACCTGAAATGACACTTTTTTTTCACACTGACGATCTCACGTCATAAGTGCGCGATGTCTGGACAGACGGAGAAATTGAATCTATTTGTCAAGAAACGGCATTTCACTGTATCTCAGCCACTAAAAAGATAGTTTTTTTAAATTTGCTGATTTCCGCGTTATGAGAGTCCAAGGAGTAACCTCTGAAAATTGTCTTAAAATTTGTTAACGTACTCTACCACATGGTCGCCAGTCTGAATCTTGCGCAGCTACCTTGCCATTTACCTGCAATGTAGAAAAAATTAGAAAACCTCACCCCTCTTTATCAATCCTCCAGACGATCTGTTTGAATAACTAGGAGCTACAAGACATTCTTGACTCAAATGACCAATTTTTTGAAACAACCAGGACATCAGCTGCTTACGAACCGCGTGCTGTGCAGAAGCGAATATGGCCAGGTTACCAATTTTTTTCAAAATGGCGGCATCAAATTTTGGCACATTTGAGGAATTTGAATTTTCGGTTTTGTAGTTTTGGTTAATTTTAGATCGGTTTTCGGTTTTGGTGTTCATTGCGGTTTGGGTATTTTCCGTTTGAAAGTATTTGGTTATCAGTATTCGTAAAAATCACAAATGGGTTTTCAGATTTGGTATCCGATGTGATTTTGGATTTTTCCTATTTTGGTTCCGGTTTTCTTTCGATCTGAGAGGCAATTATGATTTTGAATAGCTGCAAAATCTCTGTATGCACCACTTGTCACTGACTGTATCGGATCGATTAGAGTTTTGATAATTGGGATGTGAAAATTCATCGGCTTTGACGGTTGTGAACCAATTTTTTGTGGTTTTGCGGTTTTGGATGATTTTTTTTTTGCGGCTTTGCGGGTTCTAATAAACCCCACTGCCCCCATCTATTTAGAGGGTGGCAAAGGGAAGGTTCCAACAACACATCACGCTGAATTTTTCTATTAAATTACTCATCACGGAGAATTATTTTAAAATAATCACGCGTCAAGTAAAAAGGAGTAAGTACGCTAAGCTAATACTGTAAGATTTCAACCTATGGAATGTATTTTTAAAAATCATATTGCATCCAACGTTTTTTATTCTGGAATGAATTGTGTTCCACTAGTCATATTGCTTTTTGCTAGACAAATAAAGACGACTTACTTGTTGAAACTAGACGCTCTAAGAGCGTTTAATTGGGCTTCGTATCGTACAACCGTTTGGGTCGACATTCTTTCAGATCTTTTATTCCATGGATTCGGTCACTTTCTGGTCTTTCTGCATACGATCTGAAGCACCACCACGACCACGCAGTCGACAAAAAAAACACTGAAGGTCAGATTCCTTGCGCAAATTTTAACTATACTAACTTAGCTTGATTGTCTCACAATTGTTTGGACCTACCACGAAGATTAAGGACATCAAAGTCAAGCAAAGGTCACCTACCACGGAAATCTAATTAGTAAGTCTTGTAAATCACGCGTCATGCGCATGTAAAATAGTAAATCACGCATCACATTGTGAATTTTGAGTCATCACGTGTCACGTAAAAACCCTTTGCTATCCGTTATTTAGTATCTGGCGCAAATATCCCTTTTAAATATAAATAGAGACGTCTTAATTTGGCACTAAATGTAAGATTCGAGGCATCAGTTGAGTGAGTTTTACGAGTTTCTACCTCCGTCTCCTCAGGATATGAAACAATGGACGTGGGTTCCTGAACTTTATTCGTCAGGGCTAATTGAGAGGTGGTATTTAGTAACTGCGACAACAAAAAAAGAGGGGCTCTGACAGGGAAATAGAGCAATTTCCCAATAAGGCTTAAAAACCGTTGACTCTTGCGAACACAGCGGCCATGTACAACATCCTTTCCGTCCTCTGAAAAGAAAAACTCCCAATCTCCATTTCCAGCTTGAATGATAAACTCTTTACCTGGCTGCGATATAATGAAGGCAGCGTTTGTTAGATCAGCGCACATGTCATCTGCGTTCGAGGTGAATGAGATAGCAGCTCGCAGAAATTTTAAGGTTGTCTGGTCATCTTCACTTAGATTTCCATGCTGTCCTTCTGTTCCGCATCGCTTTACGATCTCTTTACCGAGAACTGTAGGTGATATTTTATCAACTCTTACAATCACGTTGCTTGGGTAATCCTGGTATGTAAAGAGCGAATAAAATGCTTTTAGTAGCCAGCAAGATTCTCAGGACTGAATTCTTAAGCCATTTTTCCCCACCTTTCTTTTTCTTTCTTTTTCTTGTATTCAGCTTTCTACATATTTGTTCAAGCGTGAATCACGCAAGTTTGTGTACACACCGTCACATTACCGTGTTTATGTTTCTGCACGTACACACAACCTTTAATCAAGATTTATTTTCCGTCAAATCCCGTTAAACATCATTTGCAAAGCTTTCTCACGCGCTCAAATTAAATTCGATGCTTGACAGTGGCGCGACAGTTTGTCTACGCAAAGTTGTATACTTCACGCTTGAACAAACAACGAAAAATTGAGCCGTTCACTACGTTTTGTTAGGAAACGAATTGCCGCCACAAAACTTGTTGATCAAATTAAAGATTCCGATCCCGAAATTTAGTAGTGACAGCCGGGGAAAAAAATTAGCCTTGACAAAAGCCTACGAATTCACCCTGAAAGCTGAAAAATTATTTTGAACCCTGATCATTAAAACAGGAAATCTTTAAAAGCGGGGAATCTTTGAAAGCGGGGAATCTTTAAAAGCGAGGAATCTTTAAAGGCGGGGAATCTTTAAAAGCGGGAACCTTTAAAACGGGAAATCTTTAATAGCGGGAATCTTTAAAACGAAGAATCTTTTAAAGCGTGGAGTGAAATCGACCAAATGTATAAGCGGTCTGTAAAAAAGTTGCCCTCTTGAGTCGCGGGAATTCATCAAAGATTACCATTTAAAAGATTCCCGCTTTTAAAGATTCCCCGTTTAAAAGATTCCCCATCCCCCATTCTCCCATTCTCCCATTCTCCCATTCCCCCATTCTCCCATTCCCCTATCCCCCATTTCCCATTCCTCAATCTCCTGTTCTCTCAATCCCCATTCCCTCAATCCCCATTCCTCAATCCCCCATTCCCTCAATCCCCCATTCCCTCAATCCCCCATTCCCTCAATCCACCAGTCCCCCAATCCCTCAATCCTCCATTTCCACATTCTCCCATTCCCCCATTCTCCCATTCCCCCATTCTCCCATTCCCCCATTCTCCCATTCTCCCATTCCCCCATTCTCCCCTTTTCCCATTCCCCCATTCCCCCATTCTCCCATTCCCCGTTCCCTATTTTAAAGATAGTCGTCTTCAAATCGTGGAGTTAAGTCAGACAACCGTAACATTACTGAGGCAGCTGACTTTTTTGTCCTTTTTGTGGCTCTCAGGGTTTTTCCCTATCATAATTGACTCTAATTTTGATTGAACCGAAGCTCACGTCTCGAGAAAAAGCAAATGATCAATTCATGAAAGCGTCACGCGTTGTGTGACTCGGTGTTAAGTTACGAGAGGAACAGTTGAGAATTTGAACACGTTATGAGGAATAGTATGGGGAACGGAATATGGTCGATTTACATCGATAAATATTTCGAAAGTTCGAAGTTCGTCTTAAGACAGGAATGACAGTGATGGAAAAGCAAGCTTTAAACGGCAGAGATCGCCAGAAACCACAGCGGACACTCAAGGTGAGAGTATGTTCTTCAGATTTTACGTGTAAAATGTTTATATTTTGAAATATTTATCGTTGTAAATCGACCATATTGTCCAGGTCCACAACGATGACAAACGATCGAGATATGACCACTACGGTATCTCAGCTTCTCAATTTTAAAACAGCCATGAGAGGTCTAAGGGCTAAGATCATTATATTTTTTATTCCATACGCGGTTTGAATTACTGCATCTTGTTAAATATGGAAATGCATTGGGTAGCTGCGGAGTACTCTTTTACGATCTCAAATCTTGACTCGCAAGAAATTACAGTTTACCACAGGTGGCTTAAAGTCATTTTGCGAGGCGAATCAGCTCGTGCACAAGATTCCTGCTACGAATAATGTTGACTTAAACCTGTTTTAAACTTTGCATTCTGGATATGGGCCAAATATAATCCCGACTCGAATCGGCTCTGGTGAAAAAAGAAAACATTCCACTAAATTGTATGATGTCTTTGCATTGTCGGAAATGAGACTAGAGAGTCTGCTATGATCCGAAACCTCATGTTTTAATTTGTTATAAATCAACTTGGTTTCCCACTCTCTCACACCTTTCAAGTCTCACGCTCTGGTCTCTCTCATTTTAAATATATAATACGATCCTATTGCTCAATCATCTGTCATTCATCGCGAAAAATCAACCGGAAATCAATTAACGCTGATAATCTCTCACAGCATAAAGAAAATGACTTTTCTAGGCTCACTTTGTTATAGAGAAATGTCACAATAAATTAAAGTTACGTTATAAAATTTGTTATGGTTATAAAATGGCGTATAAATATTACAAACGATCCATTTACATATGAAAATTTTGAGTACTGGATCACTTATAACAGCTTCAATCTAGGGCTCGATCACTTTAAACGTAGCAGTGATTGTGGGCGTGTCATCTTTTATAATTCTTTTGAATCTCACTCGAAAGTTAAAACTACCCAAAAATGATAGAAACACCAACATTTGCATTCTGCACATATGATAAAACATTGTATGAATTGAGAACTGCACTAGGAGGCCTTCCATTTGATTGTATGATGTTTATCAATGACGTGAAAATGTTAGATGATATAATAGTTGATTCGTGTCCAAATGTTAATAAATAGAGTGAAAATTTTACAAGACTTTTGATTGATTTCATTTATAAGCTAACTCTTTTATTTTGTCCTCAATTCTATCCTTAATTTGTTTCCAAACAATTTTTTTGGTTAATTATTAATGTATTTATTTTTAGATAATTCAATACTATTATAATTTCCGACTCTCAACAACTTACAAATTTTTCGAAAAATATAAATTATGCTGATTATTCTCTCACGATTTTTATTTTGAATAACATCTTGTCAATCTCTTCAAATATTTGATGAGTTTGCCATTTCTTTTGTTGACTTCATTATATAAATTTTGATTTTAAAAATCACCTCATGGATTCTACATGTTTTTTTGATAAATACTCTTCTTTTGAATTTTGTAACCATTTTCATGATAGCCAATATATTTTGATGCATCTTTACAACCATGACCCAGACCACATCCATTACAAACGTACTAGTCATTATAAAAAATCATCTCCATTTTATAACCACATGGTTCTCTTCTGAAATTATTGACATAATTTTCTATGCCTTTCAAACAAAACGGTCAGTTAATTTATCCATTTTCATTGATTATTTCATCTTGTATTTCAAAATTGCAATTATTGTAGCTCATATAATATGATGAGATTCTTTTTTAATATATCAAAAAATGAAATGAGATTACAAGATAATCACCATGAATAAAAAAAAAATTTTGGTGATTTTGGATGAAATCACAAGATGAATTATTTTATGAATACTATAGATTAGGATTTTTCAAAATTGCAATAGATCATATAATATGATGACATTATTTTTTTCATACATTATAAAATAAAATGTGATCATGAGATGATCACCTTTGATGAAAAAGTTTTGGAACTAGTTTTGAATTTTTTTCAAATATATAGTTTGACCTCTGAATCATCATTGTGGGGGGTGAAATGGGTGATCTGAAATTGGGTGTGAGAGATCGCCACGACAGCCACGCATTGGTAGCTGCTCAGCATTCTTTTACGACCTCACTCATGACTTGCAACAAATTACAGTTTACCGCAGGTGGCCTAGGGTCATTTTACAAGACGAATCAGCCCATGCACACAACTCCTGCTGCGAATGATGTTGACTCCAGCTTGTTTTAAACATTGCATTTTGCATATGCACCAAATTTAATCTCTGGTGAAATGAGAAAACATTTTACTAAATCGCATAATGTCTTGGCATGAAGAAAATGGCTTTCTAGGCTTACTTTTGCAACAGAAGTATTGTTGTTGTTAAAGAGAAATGTCATAATAAAGTCACAGGTAGAGGATCTTAATTCCGATTTCCTTCTCATCGCCGATCTCGTCAGTATGCTGGACTAGCTTCTAACGCATTTCCGTGGTTAAGGCACCATGGGAAGGTTTGACGTTCAAATTCTGAGCGAAGTCTCAGATTATTTTTTCAGGTTCCTTGCTTGCTCGTTTTGAAATAAAGTGCATATTTTCTTATGGTATTCTATCGAGGGGTTGCCGAGCTACCCTCAGAAATCTCCACCACTTACGAGTTCAAGTTTACTCGAAGGATTGGGCATCGATCGCGCATGATGTAGAGTTGATGAACTCGGTAAAACTGAAAACTTCCCTTGACTTTCAAGAAGAGATTGACGACAGTTTGATATCGAAACTCGTATCGACCAAGTCGGCTAAAGGATTCATTGAGACAATGGGGCTTAGTTTAAAGCTCCTTAGGTCCATATATGTCAATCACAGTTTCGCGAAGACGACGAAAATTTAACTTACTGAAGAGAAGAAGTCCAATTCAAAAGGAACAAATTTCGTTGAATTTCATCACTGGATTATTTACAGTTTGATTTCTTAATCGGAGATAAAGAGAGAGTTATACTTACTGGTAACATTCTATTGTTATTAATGATATTTCCCATTGTGCCGTCTTTGAAAGCTCGAAGAAACTCACGAAGACCAGACGAAATGGCGAACAATAGTGCCATATTCAGCTGGAACACACTAAACATGTCATTTATATACAAACGAAATGTCCTTGTATGTTACTTAATTTACATGAAATATCGTTACACCTCTAACCGTTTCCGGCTAACTCAGGACAAACAGCTTGGCTAAATCCCTACGTGAATCACGATTTGCAGCTTTTGGTCCAGAAGCGTTTGTGATCGGAGAGGCTGTCTGTAGATCATGTGGTCAAGTCAGACATTGTATCGTCTTTGATATCAAAGACTTTTGATATTTAGCATTTTGCCAGTAAGTATAACTCTCTCTTTAGCTCCGATTAAGAGATCAAACTGTAAATAATCTGTTCATGAAATTCAAGGAAATTTGTCCCTTTCGAATTGGACTTCTTCTTTTCAGTAAGCTAAATTTACAATTAGACAACCTCAATATTATATGAGCTATTGCAATTTTGAAATACACGATGAAATAATCAATGAATATGGACATATTTACTTTCCGTTTTGTTTGAATGGCATAAACGATTATGTCAGAAATAACAGAGGAGAACCATGTTGTTATGAAATGGAGACGATTTTTTATAATGACAAGTACGTTTGTAATGGACGTGGCCCGGTTCATGGTTATAAAAATGCATCAGAATATATTGACAATTATGAAAATGGTTACAAAACTCAAAGGAAGAGTATTAATCAAAGAAAGTATAGAGGCAATGAAGTGATTTTAGAAATCAATATTGTAACTAACAAAGGAAGATGGAAAACTCATCAAATATTTAAAGAGTTTGACAAGATATTATTAAAAATGGGAATCAAAAGAGAAGAACTAACAATTTTATTCTCTGAAAATCTTTTTTAAAATGTTGAAAATCAAAAATTGTAATAGTATTGAATTATCTAAAAAATAAACACCATAATAAACCAAAAAATTGTTTGGAAACAAATTTTGGATAGAATTGTGGACAAAATAAAAGAGAGAGCTTATAAATTAAATCATTAAAAAAATCTTGTCATATTGTTCATTGTAGTTATCATTATTTGGACATTGATCAACTATTATATCGTCTAACATTTTCATGTCATTGATAAACAATATATGATCAAATGGAAGGCCTCTCAGTGTTGCCTTCAATTCATGCAATGTTTTGGCATATGCACAAAATGCAAATGTTATTGTTTCTATCATTTTCGGGTAGTTTTTAACTTCCAAATGAAATTTCAAAAGAATTAAAAAAAGATGACACGCTCACGATCACTGCTACGTTTAACGTGATCAAGCCTGAAATTGCAGCTGTTATAAGTGATCCAGTGCTCAAATTTGTCATAAGTAAATTTCATTGTTTGTAATATTTATACGCCATGTTATATTAGTAACACAATTTATAATATAACTTTATTATGGCATTTCTCTTCAACAACAACAATACTTCTGTTGCAAAAGTAAGCCTAGAAAGCCATTTTCTTTATGCCAAGACATTATGCGATTTAGTGAAATGTTTTCTCGTTTCATCGGAGCTGACTCAAGTTGGGATTATATTTGGCGCATATATCCAGTATGCAATATTTAAAACAGGCTTGATTCAACATTATTAGGAGCATGAGTCATGTGCATGTGCTGATTCACCTTGTAAAATGACTCCTGGCCACCTGTGGTAAATTGAATTTCTGTGGGTCATGAGTTGAGGTCGTAAAAGAGTGCTCAGCAGCTACCCAATGCATTTCCATATTTAACAAGATGCAGTAATTCAAACCACGTATGCAATCGAAAATATAATGATCTTAGCCCTCAGACCTCTCATAGCTGTTTTAAAATTGAAGAGCTGAGATATCGCAGTGATCATATCTTGATTGTTTGCCCTCTTTGTGGACCTGAAGAAATTCGATTCCTGAAAAGACTTGGTACAGCACGTGGGTTGAGTGTCTTTCCCCTTTTTTTTCCCTTGGCCGAATGGTTCTCAGGATGTTTATCTATGATTATTGAAAATTTCAAGGGTTTCCAAAATAATTAAAAATCAGAGTGAAGAAAATAACTGTTTCCCTTTTCATTTCCTTCCCCCCTGGTTTTCTTAAGACATTTATGTACTATTATTTAAAATTTCAGGGATTCCTAGAAGAATTAATAATCAAAGTGAAGAAAATAAACCCACATATTGTTGCAGAGAAGATTGAATCGCTACAGAAAGGAAATGCATTTTTAAGTCTCAGTGAATTCGACCAGATGCAAGTCAAATTTTTAAAAGAGGCCATCCAATCTCTTTCCACAAGCATTGGATGATAGAGCCGATCTTGAAAATGAAGCTTTCATATTTGCCCCGCCAGGCACCCAGTTGGTCATCATATCTGGAAAAGGTGATTGGGAATACTATTTTTCCCAGCACAATAACAACAAAATAACCGGTAGATGTAACAGCAAGCCTTGGGAGTACTATGTGAGGGACGGGGTCAAATTCACTTTTTGTAAAATCCCTCAACTCTTGTCAACTGAACTTTCAGTTGTCGAAAGAGTAAAAAATTTAATGAATGCTTTTGAAAATCTTCATAAAACGTAAAAGTAATTAGTTGCATACATAGACGAATAAACATTTCTTATTAGCATATTGGCCTCGTTAATTGAAGTAAACTATTAATTGAATTAATTGAAGTAGAACTATTCAAAGACGCATATTTCTTGTTAAAATAATGAAACATTAAAATGCTCTGACTTTGCCCGAAAATGTCAGAAGTTGTATTTCTCAGGTTTTTTTATTTCGAAATTTTTTGGAAATTTCGTTTGTATATAAATATACAAATTTGTTATGTTTTGTGTGTGGGTTTGCAGCTGATTTTAGATATCTGAATAGAGGGTGTTAAGTTTTCAAAAGAAACTGTGGTGCTGCGTCGGTGGAGAGTATAACAAGTACTTTAGTGTTAACAAATTTTCGGTAAAAAGTAAAAACACGAAGTTCTATGGATATTACATCTCTTTTTACTTTCATTCCCAATGACGAAGGTCTCCGGGCCCTCAGACATTTTTTCGATCATCGCACTGTTAAGGAACCTAGCTCTGAAACACTTCTCCGTTTGGCAGAACTAGTACTTACACTCAATTGCTTTTCATTCGGTGGTAACTACCACAAAAAAACTAATGGCGTGGCCATGGGTACTAAAATGGGACCCAGCTACGCCAAAATGTTTTCGTAAGTTTTATCAAACATCAATTTTTTAGTCAATACCACGGCCCTAAACCTGAACTCTACGGCCGTTACATTGACGACTGCATCGGCTACTTCCGCTACCAGAGGGGAGCTCACTCAATTTATAGCCGCCGTCAGTTCCTTTCACCCGGTTCTTAAATATACCTGGGAAATTTCTGACACTTCTTTGGCTTTTCTAGACAACAAAATTTCAAAGGAAGGCAACGGTTTATGCACTAGTGTTTATAGTACTACAAACCTACAGATTCACATAGTTACTTGTTGTATTCATCTTCACATCCATCACACGTCAAGAACTCCATACCTTTTTCACAGTTTCTCAGACTTCGTCGTTTATGTAATGACGACTCTGATTTTTCCGTAATGTGTCAGTTTTTCGATTAACGTGGCTATCCTGTTTCTGTCGTTCAAGCGGGACACCACCGTGCCCAGCAAATTGATCGACAGGCAGCACTACAAACGGCTGAGAAGGAAAACACTGATCGCATTCCATTCATTCTCACATTTTACCCTCACAACCACGCAGTTAAATCTGTGATTCTTAAAAAATTTAAATTACCCCAAAACGATTCAGAGACTGGTACTATCTTTTCGTAACCCCAACTCATTTTCATTCAAACGTGACAAAAACATAGGCAACGTTTTAATCAGAAGTTCATTTCAAAACAATGACTAACCTGGAACTTTCAAATGCGCTCGCGATGCAAAACTTGTCCTTTCATTTATAACATAGAGAAAATATCGGGACCCAAGAGATCCATTAAGATCACTGACCACTTTACGTGTACCTCCGCCAATGTCCTTTACTGCATGACTTGCACTTATTGGAATAATTTATACATTGGTGAAACAGGAAGACGACTAGGTGACCGATTCCGAGAATACCTTCGCGACGTAGAAAGAAATGACAAGGACGCATCCAAACCAGTCGCTAGACACTTTAATCTCCCTAATCATTCTAAACAACACACGGCAGTTCGCGGCCTTTCCTTTCATTTAAGCAGTTCGGAAAGCCGCAAAACACTAGAACAAAAATTTATTTTCCAAATCGGCACTCTAAAATCCCCACGGTATCAACTTTATTCAACTAATTTACTCTTGTTTTCTCGTCACCATATCCCCACCAATAGCGTAGTTCCATTTTCTGCATATAAACCCACACACAACCCATAATTCGTCCAATCGCTCTGAAGAAGGGACCACCGCTTGAGACGTAAGCCTTTAAACTCTTTACGGTGGCCAATTTACGTTTTCAACTCTATTGTAGATATCTTCTGACTTTCTTGAGTTTCTCCAAGCTATGGATACAAAGGAAGATAACAGTGGTGAGAAGGGACTGTTAAAAGTAAGCATAACTCTTTCTTTAGCTCCGATTAACAGATCAAACTGTAAATATTCTGTCGATAAATTCAAGGAAATTTACCCCTTTCGAACTGTACTTCTTCTTTTCAGCAAGTTAAAGCCTTATTGTCTCAATTGATCCTCGGTTGCTTAAGCTAACTTGGTCGATACGAGTGTCGATATTTGATTTCAAATCTCCTCCTGAAGTCAAGGGAAGTTTTCCGTTTTACCGAGTTCATGCTATCATGCTATCTATTGCGCGATCGATGCCCGATCCTTCGAGTAATCTTGAACTCGTTAGTGGTGGAGATTTCCAAAGGGAAACTCGGCAATCCCTCGATAGAATACCACAAGAAAATATGCACTTTATTTAAAAACTAGCAAGCTAGGAACCTGGAAAAATGGCTTACTGTAATTTGTGAAACGAAACGAAATGAAAAATTTATGATTTGCGAGATGGAAATATGCTAATGATTTGCAAAATAGAAATCACGAATTACAGAATTTCATTTCGCAAATTACATATTTCTTTCATGGCTGTTTTAAAATTGAAAAGCCGAGATATCGAAGAGATGATATCTCGATCGTTTGCCTTCGTTGTGGACCTGAAGAAGTTCTATTCCTGAAAGAACTTGGTATTGCACGTGGTTCGAGCGAGTTTCCCTTTTTTAACTCGTGAGTTGCGCGCATGTGAAAGAGCGAGTTATAGATACGATGTAGGGAATAGCACTCGCTCGCTCGCTCGATTGGTCGACTCCTGTAAACTTTTTTTCGATTTTAGGCTTTTGAGTGAATTTGATAGTTTTTGGCAAGCAATAAACAAACGAAATGGCGACCTTTGTTGCTAAGAATAGTGGTGGGGCGAAAAAGAAGCCAATGATAATCTTAAAAGAGTGTTTTTTTTCGTTTTAGTTTCAACAAGCGGCGCCAGCGACTGGCAGGCATGCAAGGATTCACACTGAAATAACAGAACAACCTTCGTTTTTCATAAAATTGTAATTCACAATCCTTGAACTTGAAAACCATCCGAAGATTCATTGAAAATATCACTTACTGCGAAGCGCACGGAGTTTACAGATGTTCAAAAGCTTTTTCTGTTATGGCGTGAGATTAAGGACAAAATCGATCATTACGTTTCGTATCGTGTGTTTTTCCTGTGTGAAGCAACAAAAGATGCCGGCTACTGACGAAATTACAAGTTAACACGAAAATCAAATAACACCTAAACAAACAATTTTAGCTACCGATTTTCAGTAAATTTTTAACGAACAATTTTCTTTTAAGTTTCAAGGCAATTTGAAGATTCAAAATACATATTACGTACTAAAATACGAAAGTTATACACCACAAAATTGATAAATAGGCCTGAAATGAAATTCTATCTTGTTATTGATTATACGTTGCCTAGCACGTGACTAAAATCTACCTAGGCGGAGATCCAAAATGACGGTGGCAGTCTTGGCTTATTTATATCACTCAAAACTCGTGCCTTTTTGTCTCATTTGATAAAGAGGGAATCGTTAATGTTTTCATTAAGACAGTATTGCCTTGATTTTCTAATATTTACAATGATAGACAGTAAATTTCACTTTTCACCCACATTTACTTCCAACCTTTTCTTTTGAACCAGAAACAAAAATGATATACGTTTAAAACACATGACATCATCCACCCTTGTCAAATGTAATAGCATTATCATTTCAATTGTAATGCCTTCTTATCCCAACGTTACTTTGTTTCTTTGCTACATTAGCGAACACTGAACTACTGCTCGTACTCTAGATACGACAATCAACCATAAAATTTCCTAAACCAGATAACATTAAACATAATCCAAAAAATCATGCGTCAATTCACGAGTTTGCTCATAGAGCACTTTGATTTTTCCTTGGCCCGATGGTTTTCTAAGGATTTTTATCTACGATTATTGAAAATTTCAGGGTTTTCCGGAAGAATTGAGAATTAAAATGAAGAAAATAAGTGTTGCCTTTAGTTTTTCTTCCCCCAATGGTTCTCTTAGGATATGTATGTATTAATATTTTAAATGTTCAGGGGTTTCCGTGGGATTAAAAATCAGAGTAAAGATAATAAGTGTTGCCCCTTTTTTTTCTTCCCCCAATGGTTTTCTTATGATATTTATGTACTATTATTTAAAAATTTCAGGGGTTTCCTGAAGAAGCAATAATCAAAGTGAAGCAAATAAACCCATATATCCTTGGAGAGATGATTTATAACCTGGGGAAAGGAAAAGCATCCTCAAATCTCAGTGAATTTGAGCAGACGAAAGTCAAATTTTTAAAAGCAGCCATCCATTCCATTTCACAAGTATTGGATGATGGAGCTGATCTTGAAAATGCAGTTTTCATCGTTGCCCTTCCAGGCCTCCAGTTCGCCCTCAAATCTGGAGCAGGTGATTGGGAATACTATTTTTCCCAAGACGACAACAACAAAATCATCAGGAAATGTACCAGAAAGCCTTGGGTGTACTATGTCTGGGACGGGATCAAATTCACTTATACTATAATCCCCCAAATCTTGTCAACTCTACTTTCAATTTTAATAGCAGTTCAAAATTTAATGAACACTTGTGGAGACACCCAGGGAAAGAACAAGTAACTAGCTGCATACGTAGATGGATAAACATTTCTTATTATCATATTGCCCTGTTAATTGAAGTATAAATATATTAATTGAATTAAATTGAAGTATAACTATACAGAGATGCACATTTCTAGTTAAAAACGCATAACTTTTTAAGTGAAAATTTTCTGAAGTAAGGAAAATTTGGTGAAAAACACAATCTGAAAGAGAGTTCTTTGCCACTTCAGTATATGCTAGGTAACATATACTCTACATTATATATTCTTGACCAGGTCACTTAACAATATTGAAGAATATGGAGATGTGTAAACTAAAAGCAGTAAATAATCATGTTACATTTTAGCAAGTTGCCAGCAGATCTATGGAAAATTCCACATACACATATCTGGATCTAATGAAACACTAAAATGCACTGAGTTTGCCCTTAAATGTCAGAAGTTGTGTTTCTCAGGTTATTAATTTCGAAATTTTCCAAAGAGGAAATGTGTTTCGCAACCACCCTACTGACAACCATCTTCATTTACACCAAATCTTGGATTTGCCAGTAGATTCGCTATGCATCAGTAAAATGTCAATTATGTCTTAGTCATATGCAATGGTAACTTACATTTTCACAGCTAATGTACTGTAAACTGGCTTTTAAAGGTCTTTTTACAGGAAAGTTTCCCACATCACAAAGAGTCATCAAAACGAATTTTTCCAAGCCTTGGTCAATCAAATTGGAGTCAAATATGATAGGGAAAAACCCAGATAGCCACACAAGGGAAAAAATAGCCAGCTGCCTCAGTAGTGTTACGGTTGTCTGACTTTACTCCATGATCTACAGAGAGCCTCTCCTATCACACTTCTGGACCAAAAGCTGGAAATCGTGATTCTCGCAAGGATTTGGCTAAGCCGTTTGCCATGAGTTAGCCGGAGACGGTTATGGACATAACGATATCTCGTGTAAAGTAAATGATCTCTTAGGACATTTCGTTTGTTTATAAATGACACCTTTAGTTTGATCCAACTGATTGTAGAGTATATATTGTATGCCATACATGAGGTCTATGATATGAATGTTGCTGGCCATTTTGACTTTTACACTATGTATCGATTGTGGAGCTTTTGTTAGCCATTTCGTCTGGCTTTCTTGAGTTTCATCGAGCTATGGAAGACGATATAATGGGACATATGACTAACAGTAGAATGTTGCCAGTAAGTATAACTCTCTCTTTAGCTCTGATTAAGAGATCAAACTGTAGATAATCCATTGATGAAATTAAAGGAAATGGGTCCCTTTCGAATTGGAATTCTTCTCTTCAGTTAGTTAAATTTTTCGTCAACTTTGCGAAACTGTGGTTGATAGATATGGACCTAAAGAGGTTTTAAACTAAGCCCCATTGTCTCAATGAATCCTCGGTAGCTTAGGCGGACTTGGTCGATACGAGTTTCGACATCAAACTGTCATCAATCTCTTCCTGAAAGTCAAGGGAAGTCTTCCGTTTTACCGAGTTCATGCTCTCAACATCATGCGCGATCAATGCCCGACCCCCCATGTCCTGCGACAGAATACCATAAGAAAATGTGCACTTAATTTAAAAAGGAACAAGTTGAGAACTTGAAAAATTATCTGAGACTTCGTTCAGAATTTGAACGTCAGACCTTCCCATGGTACCCTAATGCGGGTATCAGCGGCCATCCCGAGGGGTCGACCCCCGGGCAACCCAAGGGCAACCCACGGGCTTAGCAGGGGATTTGTAGCAAAGACATGCCCCGCACGGGGGGCATTAGAGCGCTTTTGCGTTTTTGGCAAAATACCCCGGGGCCATACCCACGGGATTTGCACGTAATCTGCTGTCTCAACTTTCAGCGGTTTTCGCCACAGGACAAGCAAGCTCGCTCGCTCGATGTTCTTCTAGCCCTCGAGGTAAGTCATATCATTGCCTCAGAAAGCTCGAATTTGAGGACTCCATAGAGACTTGTGTGGATTTTAATGCTGATGTGGCTTCAGTAAACCATGATCACTCATACTTTTGCATCGAGGAACAGGCAACACCGACTATATGTTGCCCAGGTTGCTCCAGGGGTGGGGGTATTTGTCCCAATTTTTTGCCCTACCCGAGGGGCTTTAGCATGTATTTGTCACGGCAGCTGTGACAAATGCCCCTGGGTGCCCGGGGGTCGACCCCTCGGGATGCCCGCTGATACCCGCATAACCACGGAGCTGCGTTAGAAGCTAATCCAGCATACTGATAAGATCGGCGATGAGAAGAAAATTGGAATTAAGATCCTCTAACTGTAACTTTATCCTGATATTTCTCTTTAACAACAAAAACACTTCTATTTCAAAAATGAGCCAAGAAAAGCCATTTTCTTTATGCAAAGACATAAAGCGATTTAGTGGAATGTATTCTCATTTTACCAGAGCCAACTCAAGTTGGGATTACATTTGGCCCATATCCAGAAAGCAATGGTTAAAACAGGCCTAAGTCAACAGTTTTCGTAGCATGAGACATGTGCATGCGCTGATTCGCCTCATAAAATGACTAGGCCACCTGTGGTAAACTGTAATTTCTTGCTTATCAAGATTTGAGATTGTAAAAGAGTGCTGAGAAGCTATCAAATGCATGGCTGTCATGAAGGTTTCTCACATCCAATTTCAGATCACCCATTTCATGGCTCACCATTATGATTCAAAGAAAGGTCAAACTGTATAATAAAAAAAAAATTCAAAACTATAGTTCCACAAAAAGTTAAAATATAGTATCCGAAAAAAAATTCTAATCTATAGTTTCTCTAAAAATATTTCTTCCCAAAAAAAAGATCAAATTACAGTTTCATTAAAAATTCAAAACTGTAGTGTTCAAAACATAATTCATCATGTGATTTTATCTTAAAAAATTTCATTAAACTTGATCATCGCATGATCTCATTTAATTTTTTTAATATATTAAAGAAACATTGTCATCATGTTATATAAGCTATTGCAATTTTGAAATACATGATGAAATAATCAATGAATATGGATATAATATCTGTCTATGCATAAAATGCAAACTTTGTTGTTTCTGTGATTTACGAGTAGTTTTTAACTTCCGAATGAGATTTCAAAAGAATTAAAAAAGATGACACGCCAACGATCACTGCTACATTTAAAGTGATTGAGCCTGAAACTGCAGGTTTTATTAGTGATCCAGTGCTCAAAATTTTCATAAGTAAATTTAATCGTTTGTAATGTTTATGTGCCATTTTTATAACAAAAACACATTTTATAACAAAACTTTGTTGTGACATTTCTATTCAACAACAATAATACTTCTGTTGCAAAAGTTAGCCTAGAAAAGCCATTTTCTTCATGCAAAGACATTATGCGATTCAGTGGAATGTATTCTCATTTCACCAGAGCCGATTCAAGTCAGGAGTACATTTGGCGCATGTATCCGGAATGCAATGTTTAAAATAGGCTTAAGTCAACAGTATTCGTAGAAGGAGTCATATGCATGTCCTGATTTGCCTCGTAAAATGACTCCAGGCCGCCTGAATCAAAAATATAACCATCCTGGCCCTCAGACCTCTCAGGGTGTTTTAAAATAAAAAAGCTGAGATACTGCTGTGAGCATACATCGATCATTTGCCATCGTTGATTGTGGACCCGTACAAGGTCGATTCCTGCAAGAACTTGGTATTGCACGTGGGTTGAGTGTGTTTCCCATTTTTTTCCTTGCCCTAATGTTGCCCCAATGTTTTCTCAGAATGTTTATGTACGATTACTGAAAATTTCAGGTGCTTCAGGAAGAATCAAAAATCAAAGTGAAGAAAATATGTGTTGCCCTTATCTGTCGTTGCCCCAATGGCTTTCTCAGGATATATATGTACTATTATTTAAAATTTCAGGGGTTTCCAGAAGAAATTAGAGTCAATTATGATAGGGGTAAAAAGACAAAAAAGCTAGCTGTCTCAATAGTGTTACGGTTGTCTGACTAGACTTCATGATTTGCAGACAGCTTCTCCCATCACAAATGCTTCTGAACCAAAAGCTGTAAATCGTGATTCAGGCAAGGATTTGGCCGAGCTGTTTGTCATGAGTTAGTCGGACACGGTAATGGGTATAGCGATTTTTCGTGTACAGTAAATGATGTATAAGGACATTTGGTTTGCAAATAAATGACCTGTTTAGTGTGTTCCAGCTGTATTTGAACAACAAGAGGCTTCAAAGAGCCTATATTCTAGCCAAATTTGTGATCCAGGGGAACGAATTGAAGGCCTTGTGGTATTTAGCAAAATTGCTGTTGAGGGCTTTTCATTGTTTACTTACCATGGAGAGTTATAGAGATTAAGATTTTGGAACAAGTTGATGCCATTTGCTTAATTTTTTTTTAATGCAATTATTGGTTTATCCTGCAACTGTTTTTTTCTCTTGGTATGCCAGAGATGCAGGTTTCTCACATATGTATACAGAGTTCAAAACGGCATTTGCTATGCAATGTGAAGACCCTTTTCTGGGGTGGGGTGGGGGGAGCTACTATTTCAATACTAATTACTAGACATTATTTTCATTTCTTTTTTTTGAGTATTGACTTGATTAAATTTTGTTTTACGGGTTAAGGGTTGTAGCGGGGTAAGTCTCTTTCCAAACAAACTGTCTTCTAATTTTTTCTCTCACATAGCTCACAAAAGTTTCAGCTTAGGTAGCTTTTAATTATGAATAGCCCCAAGTGCTAGGGTGATGACACTTAACCAAAAGAAAACAAGAAGTCACTACCAAAGGTTATTACTAGATGAACTATTAATTTTATGGGGTTCCTCACATAGTTTATCAGTCATTAGAGACACTGGGTATTTGTTTTCACCAGGTGCTATATTGTAGACTTCTCTACCCCTGGAGTTATCAGATTGATGTTCCTCGGTTAAAATGGGATAATCTGGAATGAATGACTGCAAGCATGTCTGACTGGCAAGCGACCTGTGTTCATTCAAAGGGTCTTCCACATCTTCATTTAGAGGTTTTGTTCTATTATTAGGAGTATCTACAG